CTCAAAGGCAGCTTTTGGACTCACAGCCTCATTTGCAAAAGTAAGGAGATGCCCTTTCTAGCTCTCTCACTCTAAAATCGTAAGGTTCTGAGAATCCTCCTAGCATGGTATTATTCCATCCATTTTCTTATGAATCGGACGTTTCACACATTGCATTTGCTTCAAATGATGTATGTTAATTTAGATAACTGGTCCTAGAATGACTCTTCCTTTCCATCTAAAATACTTCTTAAGGGCAGTCTCCCTGAATGACAGGTCATTTTACTCTTAACCCTTTAGGAGATTTACTAAATCCCCATTATCCGAGATTCACCTCTTTATTGCTTTGAGATGACCCCAGGTAATGGGGGCTCAAGGTTACTCTTTAAGCTTATGGAAATAGTTTAAGAGGCCACCAGGAGCTATGGACAGGTCCTCAGGTTCACAGGGAATGGATTTTCCAAGTAAGAAATTAGAAACTGCACAGCTGTGATTTCTTGCCATTTCTTTGGTACACTACCATCCCTGTGTCATTGCTTCATTTCTGACAATGGAGAAATTAGAAAGCCAAAGAGATTGTGCCAAGGTACATATGGCCACAGAAGGTGCCTGTGAGTTTCTTGCTGTTTTAATAGTACATTTACTTCATGTGTTATAGTATATGGACATGATTTCATTTGGTACTCATAACGGTCCTGTGAAATAGACTGACAAGCTGTATTTTTTATTTCTGTACTGTGTGAATCTGTACCCTATTGATTACGAAAAGAATTTGAGTTGGCATCAAATAGGGCCAACCCAACAAGGCAATCAGAGCAGTCAGGACAGAAAAAAGTAATAGCTAACACTTGTTGAGAGTCATCTGTGTTCCAGGGACTGTTCCAAGTGCTCTTAAATGTATTAACTCATCCTTACAACTGCCTTGTGAGGCCGGTACTGTTATCAGAAGGGAAAACTGAAGCTTAGAGGTTAAGGGACTTGTTCACAGTCAAATGGTGGAGCCCACACGTCTAACCACTGTACTAGGATTCCTCTATAATAAATAAGGCCACGGGTAACATTAATGCACACATATCATGGCAAGAATTACCACTGTTTTACAGGGGAGGAAAGTGAGCTAAAGAATGGGTAAGTGACTTGCTCAAGGTTGCAAAGCCAGTAAGTGGCATAAACAGGACTAGAATCATGGCCTCGTGTTTCTTAGTGCTCTTTCCACAGCCTCACATAGTATCCTTCTTAAAATGAAATACATATTTCTTTCAGAATCTGGCAATTGGGGCAGGAGCTGTCGGATCTTTGCAGCTGACCTACATCTCGAAGGTAATGTTGGCCTGGAGCTCTGGGAATTCATATTCTGTAAGTAGGTTTAGTATCTAAACAAGAGGAAGTGTCAAATCCTTTGGAGATATTGCATAGGCAGTAAAATGCTCCCTCTTCCTCACAGCTGCCTCTGGAAGTTCTCCTGCTGACCAGGAGTGGGTGGAGTGTGGTCAGCAGGCTTTCGGAGAGCAGGCCTGCAGCCTCTTACTCCCAGGACACACATCAATCAGAGATGCTCTGAGCCTCTAGCAAAGGAGGTATAGGTGGTGGGGGTAGGAGTGGGACATGACCTTTTTTGTAATTGGGACAAGGAAGAACACAAAAACAACAACCAAAAAACCCCAGTGACTGTAAAGAATTCTTCCAAAGGGTGTAATTAAACAGAAGCCGCTCAGAAAGAGTTGGGGCCGTACTGGAATTTTATCAATCACTTGGACAGAATTACTGCCGAGGGAAGGCTACGAATGTCCTGAGAAGATACTCAGATGTACCAGGAAACCATTCAGCAGCCAGATAACTGCTGGAGGCTCTGGCAGGCAGGCTGACAGACCACCCCCGGTCTAGTTTGTTCAGATGGGGTGAAAACAGCTCCTCTTTGGTGCTGAGACCTGGGGGTGAGGGCTGGGGATGGTGGATGATGCCCACACGTAGCTGCTGAATTTAGCTTTTTTTAGCAGCCCCTCCCTAGAGCAGGCTCCAGGGCTGACCCATGATGCAGCAGTGATAAAAAAGGCCAGGGAATTTAGAGCCTCCCCAGAAAGAGGAACTCTTTGTCCAGTTAGGAGAGCCAGGTGGCACTCAGCCAGCACTAAGGTTCCGGAAGTTCTGCTCTCCCCGTGCACTCCTCACTTTAGGCCTCTTGGGGACCTCTGCTTCTTTGTCCAGCTCCTCCATCCCTCTGGGTTGAGACAGGGTGGAGGGGACCCTACTCTGAGCAGCTCCTGGCTCCTTCCTTGTAACAAGCTTTGTGAGTCCTTGGGTTCAGGCCTCCATCTCAGCTGGTCAAGGGGCCACTGGAGGTGAAGGCAGCAGCAGAGGCTACCGGAGAGTCTGGCAGACACAGCTGGGTGCAGAGGCAGACATACAGGGCAGTGTCTGAGCTCATTAGAGAGAAGAGGGAAGGGCCTTTGAAAGCGCAGCTTTGTGCACGCCTTGTGGTTAAGAAATGTGACTGCCTCTGGGATCAGGTGGGCCAGAGGCCTAGGCCCTCCTCTCTCTTGTCCAGACTTGCTGTGAGCTCATTAGGTCATTTCTCCAGGAGATTCAGAGAAAGAGAATCAGGGGACCTACGGGGTGGGGTGGGAAGCAGAGAGCCTTGGTATTAATGAAACCCCAAACCCTCTTCTGTTTGAGAGGGTTTGGGAAGTTTTTTTTTTTTTTAATGGAGAAGAGTGACTACAATCTCCTGCTGAATCATGATTTATAATAAATGCAGCTCAGATGGGATTTTTAGAATTCTCAGCTTTGGAGGCAGCCTCTTTCAGAAAGGATGGACCTGCCTTTTAGCCTTTCATGGGAGAGGCAGGCCTGGATGGGCCTTTTGCAAAACCCACAGCTGCCATGGGTCAGGTTACACAGAGCTGAGGGCCTTTAACTCCTGCCTGACCCAATGCCAGAAAGTAGGGGTTTTCCCAGAAAAACATTTAGCTGCGGTACCAGTATCAAATTCAGCATTCCAGGTTATTTCTTGTTAACCCCTAGCTATTCCTGCCCAGAGTAAAGCATTTCACCACAGTGTCAGCCTGGCTTGTGGTGTTTGTGTGGCCACTGTTCTGAGGTGCTCTTCCATCACTCTTTCATGAGGGCTAGTGTTGGGAAGATGGGGTCCTTCAGAGAGGACAGAGATGAAAGTTCTTTGCTTGATGTCATCCAGGACATCAGTGGCCGCAGAACTAGTTCTTAGGCAAACTAGAAAAATAATTGATGTTGGCCTTTGACATCACCCACCTTCCCACTTTGCCCGATGGCCTTTCTCTTTTGTATAGCCAGCCCACCGCCCCACCCCCAGCTGTGTCCTTTTGTGTCAGAGCCTTACCCTCCTTAGCTCTAAGGAAGACCTTCCTGGAACAGTGCTGCCTGTCAACAAAAATTCCCCAAAGAATATTAGAAAATGGAGAGATTTCATTCACACGAACAGTTTGCAAACCAGGGAATGCAGCCTCTGGCAGAAACCAGAAGTGTACTGCCTTTTATAGAGAAAGTGCCCGCTCAGGTTCCCAATTATGTCCATTTTATGTAAATGAGGTATCCAAATTGGCGCAATTCTGGTTGGTGCAAATCAGGTAATCCTGATTCATCAGCATTACGCGCCTTGGTTGGTTGTTATGGAGCAGTTCTGATATGTTGGTTTAACTGTAAATGAGGATATAATTGTGTTTGATTGGATCATGAAGGTCTCAGTCCATTGGTTGAAAGACAAAACCTGGAACTCCCTTATAATGGTTGACTCAGAAGGTGTAATGGAGCAGGGCATAATTCAGGAAGCCAAGAGTTCAGTCTGAGGTTCCTCCTGGTGTACAGAGTACACGAGAAGCCCCTATCAGTAGATGGCCGCTAGGCTCTCATTATTTACAAAATTTGGGCCCTCAGTTAACCATCAGGAGTCTATCTCAGCAGATCATTTCGTCTCAGGGTTTACATCAAATGAATCTTTCATCTCAGGACCCAGATTTCTAACTTTTTGGGTGGGTCATGAATCATTTGGAGAGCCTGATGAAAAGTGCGGATTTATTTTCCAGGAAAAGTATGTAATGTGTGTACATGCCATGATTTTTCCTGTAATCTCAGGGCTCATTGAACCCCTGACTGGTCCAGAGACTCTGACTTAGAGCCCTTCTGATCATTGTTTATAGATAGCTGCTTCTTCCCCGGCTCTTGATGTCACCTTATCGGCAGGGTCACCCTGGACACTAGAGCAGAGCTGCACCAGAGCTCCGAGACCTTGTTCTGCTGCTGCTCTGCCAGAGGGGCCCCAGCTCCACTTCCGGCCAAGGGCAAGGCAGGGTGGGGCTGGCTAGCAGAGCCCTGCCACTGACGAGCTGGCTGCTCCTGTGGTCTGTGTTTGATCTGATAAGAGCAAGTTCCTGAGAGTCTGTCTGACTGTGGAGCGGCTTCTCTGCGTCACTCTCTGAGTGACCCGTATTCATCTCCCCCTCACATCCCTGACCTCCTCTCACTGCTTGCATAGTTCAGGATCCACTAGTCAACCACAGTTGTGCAGGTACTCAACTGTGGCCACCTTAGGGAGTGCAGATGGTTATGTTTGGCTGCCGTCACTAGGGTCAGCCTGTCAGCTGCACGTCTTCAGGACCTTCTGCTCCGTCACCACATCTGAAGGAAGCTGCACAGCCTGGCTTGATCACCCACATGTGGTAGGGCTGTGGGAAGAGGGGTTATACTTCCCAGGTGCCGAGGATTCTGCTTCTACGGTCACTGAGATGTCGGGGGCAGGCCAAAGCTACCTGTCCATAGTAACTGAGACCCCCGCCTGGGCCCTTCTCTCTGAGGGGCACAGCACAGTAGATGTGATTTCATTTTCCTCTTTTGCCATTCTGTGACTGTGGGAAGGGGACTAGTAATTTCACTCTGGCTTTGCTCATCAGGAAGCTGATCAGAGACACGGAGGGTCTTATCCTTGCTAACAGCCCATCAGGGCAGAACTAGGACTGATAACTTGTTAATTCAGCAAGGAGCTGCTTTGCCAAATAATCCTTCTGTGGTAGGCCATGAGGCGTCAGGCAAGTGATAGCTGCGCATGCGTGTAATTACCCTGACTGAAAGCTGGAGAACATATAAAAAACAAACAACGAAAAACCAGGTGATCTCTTTGAAAGCTTCTGCTCCCATAATAAGCACATGGGTAGCATTCTCGCAGTATAGGCTGGTAATAAGTTGTGGTCAGAATAGACTGTTTATCATCCAACCAGGGTGAAACGTGTCCACCAGTGGTGCTCTTTCTAGTCAATGGTAAATGTCAGGTTCTGGGAGAAAGTCTCCTAATAAGCCAGAGAAGGTCTCGCAGCACCAGCTTCTCGTTGCCATTCAAAAGCCAGAAGTAGAAGGGGAGCCCTGAGATAGGTGGGTTCTAAGGTTTGGGATGGCCAAGGCAGTTCTGTGATGGTCAGGGTTATACAGGAACTAAGGGCAGGACACGCAGGAGTTTATGGGCATGAAGACCTGTAGGAAAATGGCTGCTGAGGGACAGAGGAAGAAAATGAGTCATTGACAGATCAGAATGCAAACAGGATAAAGGTACACACTGTGGTTCAGATTGAATTCCAGGGTCGGGTCCCAGGAAAACAAGATAGCATGGGGGCCAGGACTGTGATGTCCAGGAGCTCCATCCAGCGCAAAGTTCTCGGGAGTGGGAAAGACATGCCTGAATTTGAGTAGTCGGTGTTTGAACTCAGGATATGTGGGTTCACCTTTGCTTAAATCTTCGTGTTATTCAGAACTATTTAAAGACTTTATTAGGCCCTATGCCCTCTACCTCATATCATGGTAAACATATAAAAAAATCTCACATTTCTCATTAAATGTAATTGTTTGGCTGTAAATATTTGAAAGGATTTTAATCATTTTACTTTTGGAATAATTTGGCTATGAGTAACTCATTGAATTTATGATTGGCTCTAATTTTTTGAAAGTGATCTTGCATACCCATGGATTCTTGTCAACTAAGAAAATCAAAGCCACTAATTATTTTGAATGTAATGAAATTTTTGTGAATGTTTAAATGGAACATTGATGAAGTTGACCTAGTGTGATGTCTTGTAGCATTTAATTAAACACTTTTTAGTGAGATTGATATAATGTTACACAGGCATTTAATTAAATATTTTTAATGTTGAGTATGCCATATTCATTTTGTATTTGGGACCAGGCATTTTTTTTCAGGTCTCATAACATTTTTTGTAGGCCCTTGAGAAGCTCACAAGGCTCTCAGCATTTTGATCATAGTGCCAAAGATGACACTGCTTGTATTGATAATGGAGAATGGGATTTTAAAGGAAATGAGGTATCAGAAGCAATAAATGGTCCTTCCTTTATTGAACAGCCTCTGTATAACAGGATGGGTTAAGTACCTCACCCGTGCTATTACATTTAATCCTCACGACAGCTCTATGAGAATATGATATTGTTATCCCTGTTTGGTGGAACAGGAAATGGGGGTCACACAACTGGGAGCCCTAGCCCTCTGGCAACAGAGCCCAGGCTGTACTGCCTGTCCTTCCTTTTCTAGGCCTCTACCTCAGTTCCCATCTTGAGTATTTGGGGCAGGATTAATTTGGGTTGTTGAAGAACCTAGGCAGGTCTATAGAAAGAACTTAGAGCCAAGAGTGAGAACCCAGACAGACTTGTGGGTCAGTCATTCTCAGACCCATAGCAACGGTGACCCAAGAAGAGACCTTAATTTTGACTCAAGAATTTTTCTTTAGCTCCTGGCTTCATGCTTTCTGTTAAAGCAAGAACCCTTCCTGGATCCCCTCCGTGAGAACAAGTAGGAGAATGCCTGTGGCTAGAAAGGGGATTGAGAGAATGATGTCCAGACAAGGATTATGACACTGTGAGAATGGTTCCTAGCCTAAGTCCCAGGGGAAGGTGACTGGCCCCTTAGAAATTCCAGGTACAGCGGTGGAGGTCTGCTCCCGGGAGGTTCAGCCTCCACCAAGGGCAGTCACCTAATCTTTGTGTGCATGTGATGAAATATGAGTTGCTTTCCTTTATCCGTTCCGTGTATTTGAACCAGAGTAAGGTCAGCTCACATAGGCATATACTCAGGAATGTACATGCCGGAGGTGAGATTGAACAAGCAAGATGAAATCAAACAAGAGGAGGGATAGAAATATTTCCACTTCCTTATGCCCTTTTCTTAAATACATAGTTATGCTCTCTGATTCCATCAGCCCCTCTTGGGACATGTGGGAAGTGCATGTTTTCATGGTTAAGCACTCAGGGTAGACATACAGGGAATTGATCAGTATGTCCAAATGCAGTGAATGATGTACTGCCTCATCTTCCTGTGAGCTCTAATTGGAATTGATGTATTTGTAGCAATACCACCTTCAATTTGGAGAACTGTTTAGAGATGGGGCTTGGTGGTTGAAAGAAGTAGAATCTTGCTAGTGGGAGTGGGGCCAGTACAGGTTTTGTGGTCCAAAGAGAATTTTATCAGGACTCAGTGGCTTTTAAAAATATTTTTGCAAGGGTAAAGATGAACACAGACATCAAGTTAGTGGTGATCTCTGAGGGATAAGGATGGGACTCTATCAGGGAGGGGCACACAAAGGACTTCTAAGAAATAGGGCTGATAATGTCCTATTTCTTAATCTGGATGGTGAGTACAGGATTTCCACTTAATTATTATTCTTTAAAGTGTTCACATATGTTTTATATATGCTTCTTTTTGTAAGAAAAGTTTCACAATGAAAACATTTGAAAAAAAATGCTTTATAGCACTATTAGACATATATTCATGTTTCTTTTAATTTTTATTTGATTTAGGTGAGCGTAGCTACCCCAAAGCAGAAACCAAAGACTCCATTTTGCTTTGGTAAGTACTGAGCCAGAGGATGGGTTTCTGAACACCCTACAGCAACTTCCTCTTTTGCATGGAGACAGTCCTGTGATCACACGTGACTTACACCCTGTGTGTATGAGTGACTGCAGTCACAGCAGTGTTCCTGGGTCTCAAGTGATACTGCTTTCCTTGGTCTCACCACAAAGATTATTAATAACATAAGGCAGAAGTACAGGGACCAGTGGTGTCCCAAATTTTTCTGACTTCATAGGGCGGAGTGCAAGAAATCAACTAGAAGTTTCTAGGAAAGGAACCCTTATCTCAGAGCTCAGTAGTGGTGTGCTCAGGAAAGGTGGAGACTTGGGGAAGTTGGGGGGATAATAGGAAAGAAGGAGTATTCTGTTGAGAGTCTCATTGTTGTCAAACGACTGACAGTGTTGGGGATGACACAGGAAGCAGAGGGACTCAGTGGATGCCTCAAGTCATCGAATCACCGATATTTAGTTGGCTCCCACTATGTTTTCAATACTGTACTGAGTGCTATGAGAAATGTTAACAAGTAGTTTTCTGTTGCATATCGAGGGTGATTCTGAGTGTAAGCTCATTAAGGCAGGTATACTCCTCTGCTTTGTCATTGCTGTATCCTCAGCATGTAGAGTGGTTCTGGCACATAGTAGGTGCTCAATAAATATTTGTTGAATGAGTGAATGGGCCAAAGAATTGTGTGTCTACCCCATGATTTTCTCCTCTTATACTTCAGATTAGGAGAATAAAATGGTCCCTTGAGCTATCCTCTCTCCCAACTTCAGGTTGGTTCATACTCTTTGGTGCTCTCATTCTCCCAGTCTTTTCAAATACTTGTATTGCTAAGCTCAAAGATGACACACTCAGATTTTGTGGTCAGCAGATCTATTTAAAAAAATAAATTATGAATCCAGTCGTAAACTGTTGATCTAATGGAGCGCTTAGAGGAAAGAACAGGTTGAAAATGAGGTTAGGGTCACAGATTTGATTATTTGATCTCAGGAAAGCTTTGTTCCATTTCCGAACCCAGGCCAGTGGTACCAGTGGAAACAAGGAACACTGGGGCCAAAATTATATATGTATCATCATGAATGTAAATCTATTAGCACCTCTAAAAAGCGGTTCAAGCGTGTGTCTTGTTGATGGCAGACTAGCTGTCTCATCACGGCACAACAGCATATTAAGGTTGTTGTTAATGTCAGGTGTCATTCTTGTGGCCAATGGAATAGTCCACACTTTTGAAGAGAGAGAGAGAGAGAGAGAGAGAGAGAGAGAGAGAGAGAGAGAGAGAGAGAGAGAGAAAGAGAGAGAGAAAGAAAGAGAAAGAAAGAGAGGGAGCAGTGTAGCCTGCTGCTTCCCAAATAGTCATACGTGTGACTTCACACGATGGGACAAGCCTTCATCTGCCTTGCGGGGGTCCTCCACCTCACTACTTCAGGCACCTTAGTTTTGTGGAGTCTTTTTGTGTTCTGACCTTGATTTTTCTCCCTTCTTACCCATGACTTTTGCAGTCATCAATGCCCTCTCTCAGAAGTATTTTCTTCAAGCCAATGACCAGAAAGATCTGAAGGACTGGGTTGAAGCCCTGAACCAAGCCAGCAAAATCACTGTACGTATGTTTCCTTCTCCTTTCTGGAGGGGGTCGGTGCCTTTTCCCGCCATGTGGCTTGTTTGGGTAGGGAGGGACTCCAATGGCAGCAGGGGCTTTCCCAGAAACTTGTTCCAGGCCCACTTCCCCTACCTCTTCTTACACTTAGGCTGACTCCCCACAAGTTGAACTGAGAGTTTGAGGTTGAATCAAATTCAAGGGGAAGTTTATGGAGTGTAGACTTTTGTGCTCCCTGGGACGGCTCCTGGGCAGTTGTGTTTTGGGTAATGCTGATTTAGAAGGTGGTGGAATTGGAAAGTGGACTTTGAGAAGAAGAGTAAAGGGAAAACATGAGGAGGGATGTCAGAACTTTGTCCTTGCTTGAGGGAATGCTCTTCTTACTTTAAGAGGTAGCTTGGGGGGTCAGTCCAGGCCACCTACCAACATGTCCTATGAAAGTGTTCCTTTTCAAAGCATCATGGAACTAGTTCACTGACTCTTCTATGAGTACTCTAATTTTCCTTGACTTGGTTGTTGAAGAACTTCTTTCGTCTTCCTTCAAAATACAGAAGAAGAAAGGGAGAAGAGTAAGAAAGAATAGAGGAAAAATTATGTTTTGGAAAAAACTAGACCTTTAACCAATAATCTAGACAGACGTGTGGTGTATTAACCATGGTTTGTATGCTGAAAAGTTTGTTTTTCTGTATCATACAGTCAGAAATGCTTACATTCTAGTGACTTCCAAAAATAATTATTATGTGCTTGGGCAAATCGTTCTCTAGATACCTCCGGGTTCCTGAGAATAAATGAATAGAAGAAATCTGTACACCTATCCAGCACTTAAGATGCTGGACCCAAGTAGAGTACAACTCAGTCATTGAAGTGGTTTTGCTTCTTAACTTGTTATTCTGATAAGCCTCGGTAAACCCCATAAAAAGAGAGCAAAAGGGTGGAAGGCTGGGAGGGAGGAAGATTGCTGCCAACTCACATGTGTCTGCTCACCCACATGCTTGTGTGCATGGCTCTAGAGTGCTGATTTTAGGAAAGGTTTTCTTTGTTCATGTTGGGGTCTTTTCACCCTTCTGTGTCTTCCACAATTTGGGGAGTTTCTTTCAATGTGTAGTATGTTTTTCTCAGTCAGTGTTCCCCCCTGGATTTCTTCCTCTGTTCCTGCCTGGTGAACTGGGCTACACAGGCAGTGGGGAACCTCTCTCCCTTTCTTTTGTGTCTTGAGCATAGAGTTGCTCTAATCCCCCCTGCCTCCTCTGGCCCCATGGAGCGGAAGTCACAGGCTATGGGAGTGGGAAGGAGCATGATGGTACCCAGAGGCGGGAAGTCCAAAGGCCGGGTATAATGTCAAAGCTTTCTTCAGGGTCTCTGCAACCTCCAGGATCCCCCCACTTTCCTTGTTCTGTTTATACATCTCTTCATCCCTCCTGCCAAAGGTCCCATGGGATAGCAGGAAAAGGAGGGGTAACTTTATTTCCTCCTAATCTTTTTGTGTCCTGGACGGGTTTACTCCTTTCTCCACTTCCGCATCATCTTATGTTGTGTGTCCTTCCTTAGGGAGGCTGGGATGAGGGGTAGATGTGGGGCTGGGACACCATACTGAAGGCGTACATATTTATTTTTGGGACACCCGATGTGCGGAGTGCCACCTTGGGCACATCGGGGGATACAGAGATGAAAGAGGGAACAGATAGTGTATTGAGCCAAACTTTCACACGTGCCATATGTTCATTCCTCTCATCACTCTTGTGAGATGGGTGCTTTCACTGCCATTTAGATGAGGAGAATGGAAATGAGGGTCTTGCACAAAGTGTAGGAGTTAATAAGTGGTAGAGCTGGGATTTAAACCCATGACCCCCTGGCTCCCGAGTCCTAGGAGTTTATAAAAGTATTAAAAACGAGCCATAGTGTTAAAATGTGTTAGCTTACACACCACTTTTACATCCACGGCTTTATTTTTGCCTCGTAAAAGCCTTACGTAGGAAGGACAAATGTTATTATCCCCATTTATAAATGAGGAACTAGAAATGCCTAGAGATCAAAGTGACTTGCCCAAGGTTGTGGAGCCAGGATGGGTCCAGTTTTTCTGCCCACAGATCACTGTTCATATTTATGCTAAGGTGATTGAATCCTTATGATTGAATAAAATGACTGACATATGGTTTTTAAAGAATAGGGCTCTCTCAGAGTATTAGTATTCCTGTATTCATTTTCTAGGGCTACTGTGACAAACTGGGTGGCTTACAACAGTAGAAATTTTATTCTCTCACAGTTCTGGAGGCCAGAAGTCTGAGATCAAGGTGCTAGCAGGGCTGCGTTCCCTGTGAAGGCTGTAGGGGAGAATCCTTCTTGCCTCTTCCAGCTTCTGGTGGCTCCCCGCAGTTCTTGGCATTCCCTGGCTTGTAGCGACATCATTCCATCTCTACCTCCATCATTGTATGACCTATGTGTCTGTGTGACCTCTCTTCTTCTGATAAGGACATCAGTCAAGAACTTAGGGCCCACCTTAAACCAGGATAACCTTATCTTAATTTCGTTCCATCTGCAAAGACCCTATTTCTAAATAAGGTCACATTCTAAAGTTATAGGTGGACAATTTTGGGGGACGTTATTCAACTCACTACATTTGTCAAAAGGGTTGAAAATTGAGCTGTACAAGTGAAGCACAGCTCCCCCCCACCCCCACTCACATACCCCCACATTGGATTATCCCTGATAGCAGTAGAGCCATGCCTGGTGAGAAGGAAGATAAATATTTGCAAGTTTCATTTCGCATTGCAAATGATATCCATGTGGATCTCAGCATTAGAGAATATGCCACAGTGGATGGAAGAGGGCACACCTTTAATTAGGCCTTTGGGATATGGACAAACCAAAAGGATGACCTTGTTTTCAAGGTTATAGTTCTTGTTGAGTTGGTTCTCCACAGGCTGATTCAAAGTCTCAGGAAGCAGAAATGGTTTTGGAAAGGCTCTGGGGTGGCTGGTCAGAAGCAGCCCCACGATAACAGTGGCCTGAACCATAACAACCAGCCGTTCTCTGGGTGGATGACAAGATTTGGAGAGGCAGCACAACAGCCAAGCTTCTGTGAGGCTTTTTTTTGGTCCCTGCAAACTCAAAGGCAATGTCTCTACTTCTTTGCTGGGTTTTATGAATTCATTTGGGTCATTCGGGAAGAATTTCTGCTGTTCCATGGTGATTATTATCATTGAACACCCCAGCAACAATCAAAATCCCCTAAGAATTCTATCACACAATAGCAAAACTCACAGGAAATTAGAAAGGGTGGTAGGGAAGGTAGGTGTATTTATCACTGGAGAGTCAGGCAGTCCTTGGGCAGAGTACTTCATTTTAATGAGCTTTTGTTTACTTCAGCTATGAAATGGAGAAAATAATGCTTACTTGATGAGATTGCTTGAGATGAGGGATAATGCAATAAAGAGTTTAGCTCATTGCTGGGCACTGAATGGAGGTCCAAAGCAATGGCGACAGCTGTTCTCTCAGACAGCCAGAAGGCAAAGACAAAGTAGATTTCTGGCCTAGTCTGGAGAGGTGGTGGGCAGAGGTCACCCTTGTCTATGTAAACTGAGAATGCAGGCCAGAAAGCGGGGTCTTATCTTCTTTCTGGGGCCCCAGTGTAAACTCAGTGGTCTTACTCCTTTGAATAGATACCAGATGGAGTGGTCCTTGGTCCCCCTGAGCTGTGAACTCTTGAAAGATCTAAATTCTTAGGTCTTTCTGACTCCCAAGGCTGTAGAGGAAACGGAAGAGGATGTTAGCTTTTCTCATGCGGTCTGCAGTTACTTTCCCGGCAGATCCACACAGGGCTCTGAGTTCTTGTTAATGAGAGGCCTTGTGATGCTGTAGACACCGCACCAGCTGGGAGACAGGGTCCCGTCTCTGTTTGGTTATTAGTCATGGCCTTGGTTTGGGAGGAATGGTAGGGATGGTGACACACTGAAAAATGTATCCCCCATCTAAAGAAGGAATTGCTGCTTAGCTGGATATCTGCATTTTATGTGAAATATCCCAAATTTTAAATGTAGATTGAAAAACACACTGCATAGGACAGACAAAACACGGTTTTGGCAACATCTGCCTTTGGGCGACTAGTTTGCAACTGGTGGCCTGTGGTCTCAAACTAGCCATAAAAATTCTGTGATTATTTGATCAGCCATGGTGCTGTAACTCTGTAAAGGAAAGGAGCAAGGATAACTCACTTTTCTGAAAGGGCTATGTTTGTAAATGTTCGTACCATTTGTGAAATGTTATTCAAATCATTTGCAATGCTTTTATGTTTTTATTAGTGTTTCTAAAGTTTTTAGATGTATATACTCTATCATTTGATAATCAACCACAACAACTCTACGACAGAAATGGTATTCCACTTTTCATTTTACACGAGACAGTTTAGTCCCAAAGAGGTTCAATGATTTGCCAGAGGTCACTCGGTTAGTTAGTGACTGGTTGGAAGTAATAACCCAGGCCTTGGGCTCCAAAGCTCATGTTCCCTAGCCACATGTATGTTACCTGTCTCCCTGCCTAGCAAGCTTTCTTCTGGCTTCACATTCCGGGTTCCTTTTCATTCTCCAGGTTACTGTTTGCACATCTCCTCTGGAGACCTCTGCTAACCACTCCATTTTAAGCTGTTCCCCTGCTGCTGTCTAGCTCAGCTCCTGTTTATTTTCTTCATGGCACTTATCATAGTTTGTAATTATTCTGATTGTTCAGTTATGCAGTTTTTGTCAGTCTCCCCTACTAACATGTATGTGCCATGAGGTCAGAACATGTGTCTAAATTTGCTGTTTTATCTTTGGTCTCTCGCCAGGGAAGGGCTGGCTCACAGTAGGTGCTCAATACATTCGTTGAATGTGTGTGTGTGTGTGTGTGTGTGTGTGTGTGTGTGTGTGTGTGTGTGTGTGCCTGGCAGAGTGCCTCATATTCAGATACGGATCGAATGAAAGTTTGGGAAGAAGAGGGGCATCCTCCAGTAATTTAGTGCATTAGCTTTCCTCACTGTTGCCCATCTTGCTTTGGCTCCCTGCTTTTCCTAAGCTCCTGCTCCCTGTTGACCACAATGCCATCATTCTTCCCAGGTACCCAAAATTGGAAGCCTCCCGCTGACAACCGAAGTTCTCAAAAGCATAGCAGTTCCTCCAGCCCTAGAGAAGAAGCCACAGGTGGCCTATAAGACAGAGATCATCGGAGGGGTGGTGGTACACACACCTATCAACCAGGTGCTGGGGCCTGGGGCTGCCAGGGGTTTGTGGGCGTATGTGGTGTCCAGTGATATGCACAGAGGACTGTGCTGAGAATGGTGGTTGGCAGTGGGGGCGCCAGTATGGACTGGGTGGGCAGGAACATACAGGGCCGGGTGGGTGTAAATGATGGCAGTACAGAGATTGAGGCCATCGCATCGTGAAGCTGCGTGGCCAGCGTGGGTCAGCCCCATACACAGCAGCCTGGTGCATGTAAAGCCCATGAGGAGTGGGGCTGATGAAGGTGTGTGAGGCTGGAAACAGGCCCATGGTTCTTCCTCTTCCGGTTTGCCTTCTCTGTCCTTCCCTGTCTCCTGGGTCTGCCCAACCTCCCTGAGCCTTATTCTGTAAAAGCGCCCAGTACAGTGCCTGATGGGAGCAAAGTAAGTGTTTATTTTCTCGTTTAGTTTTTTGACTGCCATAGTGGGCAGAGGCAAGAGATGATTCGGCAAGAGGGAGCTGGCTTAGGTGGGGGTATGGCTGCATAAGGGCTGACGGGGCCGTGCTAATCCTGACACTGTTTCCTTGTAGAATGGTGGGGATGGGCAGGAAGGGAGTGAGCCAGGGTCCCACGCCATCCTCCGAAGGTCTCAGAGTTACATCCCCACGACAGGCTGCCGTGTTCCCACTGCACCCCCCCTCATTAAGAGCGGCTACTGTGTGAAGCAAGGGAACGTGGTGAGTGTCAGCACTGGGGCTGGAGTGGGTTCTGGTGACTCCTTGGAGCTGATGGGAGTGGGTATAGCAGAGGCTGAAAGGAGGAGCTGCAGTCCTCCACCCTAACCACTGCCCCAACTGGGAGAGGCTTGGGACCAAACATTCGCCCCTGTAGGTCAGAGACAGTGCCCCTGAGAAGAACTTTCTGCCCCCCACTGAAAGTGGGAACCTGGCTTTCATGGGGCTGGGTCCCTGGGAGCTTAGAACTAGAACACCCTTTGTATGCTGGGACCTCTTCCTAATGTCCTGTTCTTACCATTTTATTTCAGCGGAAAAGTTGGAAGCGTCGCTTCTTTGCACTCGATGACTTTACCATCTGCTACTTCAAGTGTGAGCAGGTTCGTAGTGGCCCTAGGGTCCTTCCGAGCGGTCAGGGGAAGGACGAGGCCCAGGAATAACACGCACGTGTGTGTGCGTAAGTAGAGATGTGGGCACACACACGGACTTCAGAGGTGTTTCTGTCCACCCTGTGTGCGCATCAGTGATGTTAAAGTGGCCTGAACTTCCTCTCCTATGCAGCGAGCTGTGCTGTGGTCAGAGCCACAGAGCATCTTCTTAGATTTTTTCCCTCTCTTGATTATTTTGAGACCTTGCCTTATTTGCAACTTGATTTTAGCTGACCATCTCTGATAAGAGAGGCGCATTGGTCAGCTTGCCTGGGTCATGGTGTTTTGTGGACAGCCTCATTTACATATCTTTTCTTTTTTGCCCCCAGGACCGAGAACCACTGCGCACGATATTTCTCAAGGATGTTCTCAAGACCCATGAGTGTCTGGTCAAGTCGGGGTAATTGTCTCTACTTACTCTTGTTTTGATCAGAACCCCCATTTGACTTCTGAAATCTTCATTTACTACCCTTCTGAGGCCCTGCTCAAGAGTCATCTACCAAGAGTAAGGGCAGGGGCCTGAGGGCTTATGGTTGACTCCCACATCCTAGCTGACCAGGCGTGGGATCACACTGGGCAAATGTACCTCTTCCCCTTCCCTTTCTCTCGCTCCTGAGGAGATGATCCTATAATTTGCTGATAGAGAAAAAGAAAGACTATAGGAACAAAGAAGAGAGCGGTGCTGAGATGCTTCTTAGGTGTTAGAGTTAGATGCTCATTCCACAGGAGAACTGGAGCTCAGAGAGGGGACTGTGCCCTATGTCACTCACTTTTTAGCACTTCTGGTCAGATCACTGCTTATGCCAAGTGCTTCTTCCCCAAATTTCTTATACCTTTTCTCTTTTCTCTCATTTGACAAATCCCTGATGTCTGCTTAAAACAAGGGTGATTTCACAGCAATGGGAGGAAGAGGAAGTAGTTTTGATGTGTTCCTGTTTCCACTAGGAAATGGTTACCTTTCAAGTGCATAGTGCATAGGATTAGTTTGGGACCTGGGACTCCTAGGACAGGGCTGTCCCATATCCAACACCAAATATAGAGGCCCCTAGAACTAAGCTTTAGAACCCAAAGACATCTGGACATCTAGAAATCTTTGTTTGGCTCTTAATTTGCAGTCTTTAAAGACTGTATGTTTGTCTGTCCATCCCATGGATTGTGCATGCAAAGCCAGCATCATCAGGGAAGCTGTTAGCCGAGACTGTTCTCAAATGAAGGCATGGAACGGTCTTGCATGAAAACAAAGTGCTGTATGACCCAACGAAGCAGGGACTGAAGCGCTATATGGAATCTTACAAATGGCAGTTGCAGAGTACAGAAGATGAGGGAAGTTCCCACTGACAGTTTATAATTCATGAAAGTGGCTATAGATGGAAATTCCAGAAGTGTGGCTCCAGAGGTTGATAGTGAGAGGAGGAAAGACTGGGCATGACTGAATCCTTGGAGATGGTTCCTGATCCTAGGGGGCCTGTACAGATAGACATAGAGCCACATGGGCATGTTGGGGCAACTTAGAAAACCCAGAGGGGTTTCAATCCTATGAGTGCTCTGCACTTTGCCTAAATCTCTGACTGCCAGAGTCAGACTGAACTCTGAGTAAAAGAATGAAGGGCGTTGAAGATCACCGGGGAAGGAAGTCCCAAAGCCTCTGTAGGTTTCAAGCCTGTGTGACTGGGGGGCCTCTTTAAAACCCAGTCAAGGGAGTTGAGGACACCTGGGTCGTCAACCAACATTTGTTGAATTGAACTGAATTGAATTGAATTGAATTGAATTGAATTGAATTGAATTGAATTGAATTGAATTGAAGGCAACATGTAGCCTGAGAAGTAGATGTGAAAAGGGTGGGGATTTCCTCCCTGCTTTGCTTTTACCTCCTCGGTAGTTGATTACATGATTGTACTCTATGTGCATGAATAGTTTAAAATGTTAACACATTTTAGCCAGAAAGCAGAGCCACCTCTACTCAGAAAGTAATAATAATAGTGAAATGTGTTTCAAGTGACCACTGTGGGCATACCTCAGAGGTATTGTGGGTTTGATTCCAGACCACTGTAATAAACGGGTATCACAATAAAGTGGGTCACAATCTTTTTGCTGATGGAAGGCCTTGCCTTCAATTTGTAAAAAACACAACATCTGTGAAGCAAAGCACAATCAAACAAGGTATGCCTGTATATGACATGCATTGTACCAAATGCGTTATATACCTTATAATTGATGTTTGCGGTGACTAGCCTGATAAAGGAGGTCTTCTCATCTCCATTTTACAGTTGGGGTACAGTCGTTCACAAAGTTAAAAAATATTCCTAAAATACCTTTTCCCTAAGTGAAGTCAGGATTTGGCTCCAGGTTCATCGGACCCCATCTTGTTGTCCCCTCCCATGTGGCTCTTTAGTCCCATGCCCCTTTCTCTGTGCCCATGTCACTGGCCAGACAGCTGCCCTTTCCTTCCAAGTCCTCATTCATGAAGCCAGTTCTCTGCCTGTGATCAGTTCTGTTTTGGAATTGTTCTAACTGTTGGCTTATAGCACACCTGATTGTATAGTTTTGCCTTTTCATGTTCTTTTATTGGGAAGAAATTAGATCTTTTATCTCCCACTGTGGCTGGATACACATACATTTAACACTAAATAATTCCAGCTGATTTGATTGAGGTTTGTCACGAGGTGTCAGCTACTTCTCGCCTTCTTCTTTGCAGAAGCCAGGATCCCTCTTCCCAAACTCACACCCAATTTGAAGCATCTTAAAGTTGTCTTCTCTCGTCTTCATTTTCTCCTCTTTGGTGTCCAGTCCTCTGAGCCCAATATAATGAAGAACAGAGCAGGAATTTAATGAAGCTGATGAGGTTGTTGCTTGGGTGGAGGAAGGGTTTGGAAATGAGAGCGTTGGTTCCCTTAGGAGAGGTAAACAGTAGTGGAGTAATTAAAAGCATAGGCTCTGGAGTCAAACCTGGGTTCCAGTCCTGACTTGGCCATTTACTAACTCTGGTATCATAGACAAGTCATGTAACCTTTCTGAGCCTGGGTTTCCTCATCCATAAAGTGGGGAGTGTTAAGTGCCTCATTAGATTGTTGTTAAGATTGGATGAAATAATGCACAAAAATGTATGCAAAGACTAGATTGATGGTTCCCAGAAGTGGGGGATGGGAGTGGGTGAAATGAGTAACAGGAGGTCAAAAGGTACAAACATCCAGTTATAAAATATATAAGTCTTGGGGATGTAATGTGTAGCATGTGGTTACTCTAGTTAACCATACTGTATTTTATGTTTGAAAGTTGCTAAAAGGGTAGATCTTAAAAGCTCTCACCACAAGAACAAAAATTTGTAATTATGTATGGTGATGGAGGTTAACTAGACTTATTGTGGGGATCATTTTGCAATACATACACATATCGAATCATTATGTTGCATACCCGAAACTAATATAATGTTATGTGTCAGTTACCTCTTTCTCTCTCTCTCTCTCTCTCTCTATATATATATATACACATACATATATATATATACATATATACATATATATATATATATATATATGTATATAAAACACCAATAAAAATTTTATCAACTGGATCCTAAAAAAGAAAGCACTCAAAATAGTGCTTTGCACAAAGCACATCATACATCTTAGCCACTTAAAAAAAACCCCAAAAAACCACAACCGTAAGGGTGTGGTGGATATTAGGAGGTTTCAGAGGAAAAGGAGGTTTATCTTATTAGAACTGGTGGTGGTGTGTGTGTATGTGTGTGTGTGTGGGGGGGCTCCTTGGGAATGGAGAAACTTCCTGAGACCCTGTAGAAAGTGAAGCTAGAGGGAAGCCCTGTAATGGGGTTTGAGGCAGGGGCTGAGGGAGGAGTGGCCTGGGAGCCCCCTTTCTATGGTAGAGGGTACTTACTGGTGCCTTGACTTAGGACAAATCAAGGCCTCTATATGTGCACCGGCCTGCCTGGTAACCTACTTTCTCTTTCTCTGTCTAGTGATCTCTTAATGAGAGACAACCTGTTTGAAATAATAACAAGCTCCAGGACCTTCTACATACAGGTAAAAAGCTCACTCTGAGAAGACTTGGACGTTCCCTTTCTGTGAATAGTGTACTCAAAGGCCTTGCCCTTTCCTGTGCTTTCTCTTTTATTTTGTTTGAAGTTTCTAGTTGGTAAATTTAGCCCCTGAAAGTCAGCCTGAGTCCCGTTTTATTCTAAACAGGATGTTTGCCAAAAGCTTCCCAACCATAAAATAATAAGAGCAGGTTGAGCCGCTGTACTGGGGAATGTGAGTGTGTACCAGCTGCTCTCAGCTACTGGGCGCCAGCTAAGCAGAGAAAAGGAGAACTGGTCAGTGGTTTCACTTCTTCTTTGGAGGGTATTTATAAGCTCCGCCCGTGTGTGGTCATCACTGTGTGCGGAAGGACAAAAGCACAGAGGCCCCTGTGCAGGCACCAGGTGCAAAGCCCAGCTGCACAGAGAAAGCCATTGTTTGGGCTCTGACCGTTCAGCTATCAGAAGCTTCTCCCTTCCACCCACTGCTTTGGAGTTCTTCCAACTCCTAAAATCGTAGGAGCTAGAAAGTCAGATTTCCAGCAGGGCCTAGACTTTCAGGGCCAAGTGCCTACCCCAGCCCGCCTGGAAATCCACAGAGTGTGCCTTGATTCATGCAGCATTGTGATAATGCTGACTTTCTAGCATTAAGACTGTCATGTAGTGTGTTGGCTTAAATGGGAGGCCCCTCAATCAAAGCCTTTCAGGGTTCCCAGCGCCCTTTCCTCTTTGCTTCAAGTGTCACTCTTTCTTCCACAAGGGTTGCCCCCTCTCCCCCATTTGTTGGGCAGCGGCTCCAGTCATCCTGACTCTCTCTGAGCTGGTCCCCCTGTCTGAGTCCAGCAGACAAGCTGGCAGCTTGAGCCATATGTGGGTTTCATGCATCCAGACAAGCACTTGTCCTGGAAGAGATGATGTAGGGGAGCTGCAGAAAGAGTTGCTGGGGATGGTAGAGCTGGCTCCATTGCCATTCAGGGACAGAGTTTACATAGTAGGTGCAACAGAAGCATGTCTAGCTCTGGCATTTAACAGACACTTGTAGAGTATCCTCAGAGTGCCGGGCATTTTGCCTCATGCTGCGGACGCTACTTTAAACAGAACAGATTCTGAACTGGAGAGAGAGATAGTCAAGTAAATAGGCAATTTAAACAGTGTGATAGGGTCGGGGAGGGAGTGTTGGATAGATGAACACAGGGGAGTTTTTAGGGCAGTGAAACTACTCTGTATGATACTGTAATGGTAGATGCATGAAATAGAACTTTATAGCACAAAGGGTAAACCTTAAAATATGCAAATTTTTAAAAAGCATTTAGGAGGTCAGGTAATCCCAGCATGGAGTGCAGAATCCCCAAAAGAAGCTAAATGGGTTACTAGTGTGAAACTTCCTCTCTGATGGGGATAACGGAATAAAAAACAAAAACAGTGTGATGAATGCTAATGAGTGCTACCATTAGAGTGAGTAATGGTTGCCATGGGAATTCAAAAGAAGGACACCTTCCTCCTCCCCATTTCAGGGAGTTAGGGGAGGTTTCCTGAGGGAAAACATATCTAAGCTGAGTCAGTTGGGGGAAGAGTGGCCCAGGCAGAGGGAAAAGCACATGTTTCAAAAAGCCTGGAGATAAAAGGAACACAGAGCATACTGGAGGCTGGAAAGCAGATACACAGGGCCTGTGGCCTTGTGTGCCTTGTTAAAGAACTTGTCTTTTATCCTGAGGGTTAGGGCCCTTATGAGGTTAAACCAGGGGAGTGACCCAATCAGCTCTGTCTTCTAGAAACTATCGCTTGAGCAAGCTATCTGACTTTCAGAGCCTTGTTTTCCTCATCTGTAAAGTGGAGATGATAGCCCTGAACACCAACCCCTGTGATGGTATGCTGGCTATGAATTGCCTGGTCGGGCACAATGTAGGGAACAGATGAGAAAAGTGGGGAAGATAGGAGCTGGGGAGACCAGTTCGAAGGCTGTTGTAATTTAGGTGAGGGATGAAATGAAGCTTGAACTAGGATGGATGGACAAAAGTGGAAAATGTAAAAGCTATTAAAGAGTTCTTTCCAGGACTTGATTGTTGGTTGGATGTGGGGTGAAGGGGGAGAGGAGAGGCAAGCATACTGCCTGGATGTTTGGCCTGGGCCTCAGGATGGCTGATGGCAGCAATCACTGTGATAGGAGCATGGGGGGTGGTGGTGGGGGTGGAAGGGTTGTAGAGAGCAGAGACAAGCTTAGCAGAGGTGGTTCTGACTTGACTGTGTCTGTGGAACATCCAAGGCGACAAGTTATGAAGGCCCTTAGATAGACAGTGCCTAACACATTGGTGGTACTAGATATTTGTCAAGTGAACGATTAAACTGGGTAAGAGTTCAGGACAGAGCTTTGGACTGGACAGAGCTTTGGGCTGGAAGATTTCGGAAACAGGAACCCCAACAACAACAGAAAAGTTCAAAAGGTACTCCATCATCTGCATGAGTGTATGCACATTTACCAGAAGTTTCTCAGCACTTCTATCCTCCTTTGCCTTCTGCTCCCACAATTCTGGGATAAAAGAACACTAGCATTACCCTGAATAAATAAATGAGCGAATGGACAAATCCGTTTATCCCACCTAACTCAAAGAGATTAGGTAGTTAGACGAGACGAGAGATTAAAATTATTAAAAGTATGTATTAATTCATTTTAAAAGAGCAACTATAAACTCACATGTTAACACAAGTAACATTTTATGAAAAAGAAGTATATTTCTAAAATAAAAAAAGTAACAAGAGTAACATTGTTTTTGCAAATCTCTTTAATGGCTGGCTTAATAGAAGACAGCAGGATTCTCATATCTGCCTCTGCATTCTATCTGGGGCCATATGTTGTTTTGATTGAACAATATGAAGAAAATCTGGCCCCGCACAGATATGTATTTGGAAAAAAGGGGAATATTTTAATAGCTTTTTCAGATAATTGTGGATGTTCTTTGATTCTATACCAAAACTTGGCAAATGGTAGTTCCTTCCTGTTTGGGTGCAATGTGGAATCAAGCCAATATCAATACACTTTCATACTCTTACATTAAAATCCATTGGTCAAATTATATAATTATATGATTTTGTAACTGCATGCCTTGGTTATTTGGAAAATCGTGCTCTCCCTGAGGTATGCAGCTCTTTCAAATGTTGACCCATTTTATTATATAATATCAAAACAATTACATTTGTTATATCACCACCAGTATCAACAAAGTCTTTAAGCATGGAAAGCTATCAGGCTCATGGAGGTAGATATAAGTTTTCTGAAATTCTAATTTTTGCTTTGAAAGCTCAAAATTCATCATTTGCAAGAAAATACTTTCATGATCTTCCTGACGTAACAGGCTTATTCCATTCAGTTTTGAGAAAGAGTTCGCCATATACCTAAGACTGAGTAAGTTTGATTGACAGTTTGTCTGTCAGCCATTTGTTCCAAGTGAAATTATGTTTCATGCAATGAGTGAAAGTGACTACTCATACAGTTTGGTGCCAGCTGTTTTACCCACCATGGTAAAGAGGCATTCTGATCTGCTCCCTAAGGTTTTATGCTCAGTAAATATGCCTCAAAGAACTGTATATCCTTGGTATCTAGGAAAGCTGGACCAGAGAGCAGGGAGATCTAGGCAGAGAAAATAAACTCCTTGGACAAGAGAAAGATGTGGGTAGCCGATGGGGTTGGATTTCAGCTACTTAGGTGTTGGTCATTTACCTTCTGTCACATTTACCTTCTGTGTCACAGTTATGTATAATTTGTCCCCTGTGAGCTCTCACACTGTAGTAGTCTTTTCTGCCAATACGAAGCTACTATTTATTGGCCACTTCGATATCCCAGGAACAGTGCTAAGCAATTTACAGGCAGCATATTACTTAATTCTCAGCCGTCTCTGAGGTCATCTCCATTTTACAGATGAGGAGGAAATGGAGTGTTTGAAGGTAAATTATTTGTTTGAGATCATAAATCTGGTGCGTTATGTGACTGAAAGACACCAGGTGCTAGAGCGAGACCTACTCACTTGTGTTGTTTACAAGCAGCCTGGTGCAAAACCCAAGATGTAGAGGGGAGTCTGACTGAATCGGAGATGACCAACTTGGGGTAACTGGGTGTCTTGACAGATGGATCATGGTGACAAAAATCCAGAACCTGGCAATAATCAGGTATTTAAGCTTGTGATGTCAGCAAGCTCATCAACAGGTAGATGGTTCTGTTATGGGCAAGCATTCAAAATGAGATTTCAGTCTTTGGACTATAAGGCAAGTGAGGTTCACCATTTCACCATTTCCCAGTCATAGAAGGTGAGGGGTATTAGGTAGCTTATCATGAGGAGGATTAATTATTCAAAATAAGAAATATAGTACAGACTAATTTTGGTAATTTGTCATAAGTCCAGTTGTCAGCATTGGGGAGCTATATCAGGATGGAAGTAGTAATAAGAGGGCTCACACATTAATTGCAGTGTTGGGTTAGAACTCTTTGGTTACTTACTGCTTTACTTTAGACTACAAGGTGAATGACATCACCTAGAACTATGTAATGTATAATGTTTGCAATCATACATATTTGGCAGGGCTTTGTCTAAAGATGGGAGGGTTCTTGGGGAGAGGGCAGGGGTTATTAGCCATTGGGAAGGGAGGGCAGAGGTTGGGAACAGAAGAAGGAGCTGCCCAAAAATTTTAGACAGCTGCAGTGGAAGCCCTTTATTGATGACCCCTAGAATTCCCTTGCTTCAAACCATTGCATCTGTTATGATGCTGGGCTCATAGTTGATATTCATTAAAAGCTCATTGAACTGCAATACAACCACAGACTGGAGTGACTCATTTTAATACCCGTTGTTCCCCTCATCTCAAAAACTGCCCTCAAGGGGCCAGCCGAGTGGCGCGATGGTTAAGAACTGGCTTGGGACGCCAGAGAGCCCCGGTTCAGATCCCACATATGAGGGCCAGTGACACTGCCCTCCACAGCTAAGATGCTGAACAACAGCTCAACCTGGAGCTGGGCTGCCGTGAGTCGCCGGCGACGGCGTAGCCTGCAGCCCCTGTGGCGGTGGGTGGCCATGGGCTACCGTGTGTAGCCAGCAGCCAGTGTGAGCGGCCAGCAGCCGCAGTGAGTGGCCGTCCAGAAGCCGGCGACTGATCTGCCTCTCCCGGGAAGAGCGCAATGATGGTGCCAACTTGGGCCAGTGAAGCAACGTCCTCCACAACTAGACTGAAGAACAAAATGACAGCAACTTGTCTGTTCCACTTCCCCCCAATTCCCCAGCGCTGTTCCCATACCCCCCAATTCCCCAATAAAAATCTTTAAAAAAAAAAAACAAAAAACTGCCCTCAAGGATAGAACCCCTACTTTTGCTTTTGAACCAAGTGCCAGAAACAAATGTACACTTTTAAGCACAATGGGAAAAGATGAAGTTATGAGCTTGGCACTTCCCTTTATGTTCTACTCAGTTTTAAGCATTTTAAAATCTCTTAGTGATTCACTGTGGGGTGAGTTGACTTCAGCTCTGTTCCCCTCGCCTCCCCCGGGTTCATGAAGCTACTTTTGTGATGTGGTTTTAAGAAATTTTGAATTTTTGATGAAGGCTAAGTATAGGCTTTCCATAAAAAATAGATATACATATACACCATAATTGTTGCATACAATCTTTGAGGTTTCACTGAATTTTTGTTGTCAGTGGATCCCATTCTTAAAACTACTAATAGAAATTATAATTGTAATCTCAATAAAGTAATATTGTGTTTCTTCTCATGTGTGATCAGTTACAATATATGTTATTTTCTATTTAAATAATATTTTAAAATAACACTTGTTAGTTAGACATTATTTTAATGTTTACTAATGTTCATTATTATTATCCTCACAGCTAGGTTAATTACCTAGGCTACTGACAGAAAAATGTCCTTAAATGGAATTACAGAATTAGGGAAGAAATATAATTAGAGAATAATTTCCATCTCTACTAATTACTAAATATTTTAAGAAAGAGATTTAATTATTTTGCTTACATTAGCAAATATTTTAAAAAATTGTAATACATAGTTCTTGCAAGGGTGTGCATGTAAAAAAATAATGTATTGTTGTAAATGAAATTTTCATATATTGTTGGCCTGAAATTTATCTTGCCAAATGTACCGTAAGGAATGCATACTCTTTAATCTAGTGATTTCCCTAGGAGTTGAAGAATCCTAAGTATGAGAAAAGCTTTAGGGACAAAGATGTGAAAAGCAGCATTATTTATCTTAGAGGAGAATTGGAAATGACCTAAACGTATTTTAGAGGATTTTGATTCTTGTTATATCGTAATTCCTAGCTTTTTGTGAGTCAGTGATTCCTTGCTAAATGGAGGCTGGAGTGAAGACATCTAGGCTAGTTGTGTGATAGTTTTTAGAAAACATGTGAGAGGTTTGTTGGTGAGGTCTCAAAGGACAATCAGATAGATAGGTGGCCTGTGGCTTGTGGGGGTAACTTGACACGGGGGTAGGTAGTATTTTGGTAGGGTGGTGAATGGAAGGAGTAGAAGTGGCCTAACAGCCCTGGAAACTGATATTGGGTTGCCATCATGGGAATCTTGAAATTTGTTTAATGAAAATACCAGATGTACATGATGCGGGAGACGTTTGGCTGTCTCTCAGCTCCTCTCCCTGTCTTTCCCTGTATCTTCTAACATTTCCCCCTACCAAGTCATCTTCTGCTTCCCTGGAAGGAAAATCTCTAAGAGATGCTTTTCTACTTATGGATGATTTAGTTACCTCCATTCTCATTCCAATTTGAAATAACCTTTCTTCCCCCCAAATATGTTATCTTAATTGACCCTGACAATTTAATCCTTTAGGTAGGAATAGTCTGCAGATTGAGTGTGAGGAAACTGGGAAAAAAAAAAAAAAGCCCCAGGGAGAAGGCAGTGAATATTTTATACTGTTGGAATTGAAGGCTTCATTTGTGTCCTTTATATGTAATAATAATACTACTACAATAACATACTTATGAAGCCCTTTCTGTGTATCAGGCACTGTTCAAACCGCTTTCCCTACAAGGGTTCATTTAATTCTCTCAATTGTTCTACTTGTGGGACAGGCTAGCCCTGATATTATTAGTAATTGGAAGAATCTTGGAGACCTTGCCCTGGTTATCTTTTTAGACTAGGGATGGATTTGTCTTTTTCTTGGGAAACCACCAGTTTGTCAGATAACTGGGAAACGTCCAGGGGACAGAGAGTGCGGGTAAATTTGCAGCCCTAGTGTAGGAAGGAGGTGTTCGCCTTGGGCACTTGTTGCTACACCCTTTTGACCCAGTGTGCCACAGTGTGAAACCGGTTCCCTTGCAAGCTTCGCCTGTACCTAACCAAGGAAGGTTTGTTTGGGGTGACAGAAAGGGGTAGGATGCAAGCTTGAGAATTTTTAAAAAACTGGTCATGTATTATCTTGATGTAATGCAGAGAAAGAATCATTTGGGTACTGGAGAAAGTGAGTCCCATATGCGGAGACTTTTGCAGGCCGAGGTGTGGTGTTTGTGTATTCACGTGCACAGGCACACAGATATGCACTTGTTAATTTAGGTGGAACTTGTTAATTTAGGGGGAAGGCGCGGGGGACAGAGAGAGGTTAACAAATATAAATTTCTGGAGATCAAGGATTCAGTCTTGGTCCCATCTCTGTGCCCAGCACCTGATGCCATGTGTAACAGTAAGTAAGGCCTCAGGAAACGTTTGCTGGGCTCACTTGAACTCAACCCCTATAAAGCTGGAAAGCACTGAGAATACCGAGGGCTCCACCTATGGTGGCTTTGCCTCTTGATATTCTTTCTTTCTTCACAGAGCCACTGCTGCCCCCTTCAGGGGTTGGTAGGTATTTCTGAGGGAAATACTTGAACTTAGCAGCGTCCTCCGTGTTATACTTAGTGCTCAAGTCTAGCAACTCTCCCCGCCTGGATGGAGAGTCAAGACCAACCCAGGTAGCTTGTGCTTTGAGAGAAGCCTTGCTTGGAGATAATACATATCTGGGATGCTTTGCAGAGGATTTGGCTTTAATGGGACTGGAGTTGAAAATGGGATTATTCTGTTCAGATAGCTATAGTGGAAAGTTGACTGCATTGGGAGGCAGGAGAACTATAATCTAGACCATCCATAAGCCTTGATCCTTGGCTTTCTGGGCTTCATTTTTGTTTGCTATGACAGGAGGCCAACTGTGTTCCGTAATGGGTGAGGGCCTTCAACAGGGGATGGGCCTCTAAGCTCTCCTCTTCATCATGACGTCTGCCCCACTGCAGAGCAGCTCCACTTTGAGCTGTTTTATTTATGAGGTGTCAAATAATATTATGCAGTGGAAAAAAATGTCCTCAAAGGCCTGAGGCCACTGGACTAGATGATCTCTGAGATCCTTCCAGGTCTAATGGAGTGATTTTTATAAACTTAGAATTGAGTCAGAGACTTGAGAGCTGAACTCATTAGTGCCCCAGATTTTTCTGTTAAGTGCTGTGGGTGTTTTGCAGGCGGACAGTCCAGAAGACATGCACAGCTGGATTAAGGAGATCGGGGCAGCGGTCCAGGCCCTCAAGTGCCACCCCAGAGTAAGTCACTTCCTTCCCGTTGCATAGTCACTGTCAACTGAGTGATGACTGTCCTTGAGTGGGCAGGTTTTATTTGGTGATGTAGGCAGGCAGCCTGGTTGCAGCTGAAACCCCAGGCTATCTTGTTTGTTTTTCTTTTTTGACTGATTAGGGTATACATTTTTATTTTTGGTTGTTGGAGGAGGTGAGGTGGAGTTGGATAGAGAAACAGAGTTTCTGATGTGCCCTGTCAGGCAGACCTTGACACATCTGAAGTAAATTATGTTGGATGGATTTGATTTCTGTGGACAAGTGTTTCTGGGCCTATGAGGTGGTGATCCTGGGAGTGTACTCTTCCTGGGGCTTTGGGATAAACATTGTCAGGAAAGCTCTTACTTTTTCTATGTTTTTTCCTTCCCTTTTATATTGTAGGAAATGTCCTTTTCTAGATCCATTTCTTTGACTCGCTCTGGAAGCTCCAGCCTCTCAGGTGGGCCCAACTCTGTCTTGTGCAGAAGGCGGCCACCTGTGGAAGAGAAAAAAGCCCTCTGCAAAGCTCCCTCTGTGGCCTCTTCCTGGCAACCCTGGACACCTGTTCCCCAGGCCGGGCAAAAGCTGCTTCCAGCTGAAGAGACTCCTGAGGACTCATTGTTCACACCTCGACCTGGGGAGAGCAATACTGCTGGGGTGTTGCCAGGCTCCCGGATAAGGCACAGATCGGAGCCCCAGCACCCCAAGGAGAAACCATTTATGTTCAACCTGGATGATGAGAACATACGGACCTCTGATGTGTGACGAGGCATAATGCCCGGGGAGGAAGGGTGGGGGGACTCAAGGAAAGGAGGCCATGACTCAGTTTCTCTGCCTGTTGGAGGACAGTCAGAGGCCTTTATGCCACTCCTTTTCCTGTGGATATTCCGTTGGACAGGCCCATCCAGCTGGCTTAAAAAAAAGTATATAAATGCAGTGTATTTAATTTGGGAAAATCACTAGGTTAGACCCGTAGGCATGCTCAGTGGCGAGCAGGTTGCCTCTTGTTCCACTATTGCAAGGTCGTCCTGGTGAGGAGGTTGGGAGTACAATTTCGTCCTTAACCGAGTTTAATTTCCTTGTCTTTGTTTTAGTTTCTTTTGTTTGTTTTCAGGCCAGGCACAGAATTTTAGGCCAGCCATCTGGTTTTATCGTATTTCTGTTTATTGGCTGAAGTTTGACTGTGAAGTAGAAGGGTAGTAACTAACCTAGCTGAAAGGAGGGAGGGGTCGTGGAAGACTCAAGCTCTGGCTTCACTGGGATACATTCTGAGGGGAGGTATTAAAATCTAAGGGCTGGCAGTGGCCCTCAGAATGTCTACTGGGGCGTATGCCCCCCCAGGAGCCTCCATAGGGGAAGAAATGGAGACCTCTTATAAGATATAGGGAATGATTGAACCCCAGTGCATCAGCCAGTTTTGGGAATTACTCTGCTCTCATTTAGATGTTCTTTGACCCCAAATATTGTCAGTGTGAGTGACAGACTTGCCCACTCTGGTTTCTGTGCCCAGCCCCAAGGATGGGTTTATCAGTGTTAAATGTTATGACTGTTGAGAACAGAATAGACATTTCCCTTAATATGATGTTAGTGGGAAAGTATGAAGGGTTGATAAATTGATAAGTGTATGTTAATTCACTCGTGTGATAGATCAGATCTTTATGTCGGAGTTTTAGATTTGCTTTGAAGCAGGTGCTGGGGAAGAGCTGGATTCTAGTTCATCCAGCTAAGTTTTTTTGATCCATGTTTTATAGACAGAAGGAAAGGTCTGTTTTAGCAAAGACAGATGATCTTGAATCCTTGCCTCACAGCTCTTTTTTAATGGGCCAACATTAGTCTAAGTTTCAGTGATGTATATTGTATACCCTGGCAGATTTGCTTTCCTTCTATTCTTTGTGTTGCCCTTTGAATGAAGCCTTGTGTACTGCATGACCTGACTTGTAACCTGATGAGGTTCTGTGTACTTAGGAGTAGAGAGATACAAAGATAATCTTGAGAGATATTTATATTTTTAATAAAATAGAAACTGCATAACCACATTGATTAGAGGCTGTGCATTGCTGACTAGAGATTTCTCTGGTAGAAGAGCATAGATTGCATTTCCCACCCATGTTTTATGGTGTATCTTCTTCCATTTGACAAGAAGATACTATTTCCAGGGCTCCTGGGAGGATCTGTCTATCCAGGCTACGTGGTGAACTGCTACCAGGAACTTACCAGGGTTCCCTAAAGAGAGAAAACTCATTTCTATCTTAACTTTTAACAGCTAGATCAATTAATGGTATCTTTAAATTAAAAAATAATGAGTAGAGGAAGAGGCTAAGAGAAGCATTTTTACCTAAGTAAATGAATCCCTCCCCTTCCTTATGTCCAAATCTAATGCAGAGGTGAAAACATGTGATCAGAGAATTCTTAGTGGCTTGAGGGAAATCTTTCAGGCAGTGTAGTCATGAAGACTGAGTCATGTTGAGAACTTCTCTTGACTGCACTGCATTGGAGCTATCCTTCACTTAAATTGTGTGGCCTAGTGGTGCTGGTGTAAAAAAGGAAATTTGCTACTGGATCTCTCACTTTTTTCTTTTTTTCTGCAGACTCTTGTGTTCTTTTGTCATCAGAAATCCTCGATTTGGGAATTATTTATTTGAGTGGTAGAGGTTACAGTATACTTAAAGTAGTCTGCTTTCAAGAAATCATTCCAGATTCTTAAAGCTCCTTATCTTTGGTTTCATCTTCCAATTTTCCTCAAGAAAATTATTTGGCTAGGTCAAAGGGAGTGCACCATGAGTGGTACTGAATTAATGAAGATAAATTAGGGACTTTTGAGATTCCTTTAAACATTCCCTAACTCATGGAAAGTTGTCATCTTTTGTTGTTTAAATTATAAAAACTACCCATTTCTCTCTCTTTTTAAAAATAAACTCTGCTACATTACTACTGCTAAATTAATTGGCTATTATAGTAAGCTGATATGTTTCTTATTCATTAAGGTCTATTTTGAGAATGTGTTGCATACTTACAAATCCAGATTGTATTATCATAATAGAGGGAAAACAGAGGCTCGAGTCAGCAAATACTTGGGAATTCTAAGCTAGAAAGAAAATTTTTAATGTAGTTCCAACATGAGGTAAATATAATTATCTTCAATGAAGCCTAAAAGCATTCTCATTCCCAAGCCTCATTTCAGAATTCCTTTTGTGTCCGTATTACTTACCTTCTGGCCAATTTCATATCATAGCCTTTTAATGTCATTACATATGTGAGCCAAAGATGGTGCATATACGACCAAAGCATTTGGTTTTAAATGTATGAAATGGAACCAAATGGAAAAAATAGGGTCGGGATGCAGTGTAGGTTAGTAGTTAAATGCATAGGCTCTGGTAAATCTGAGTCGTCCTTGTGGTGGGGTGGTGTGGTGTGTGTGTGTGTGTGTGTGTGTGTGTGTGTGTGTGTGTGTGTGTGTGTGTGTGTGTGTGTTTAAGGTACCAAAAAAAAGATACTGCATTTTCCTTGTGAAATAAAAATCTTCTCTGAGTTGTGCTGTTCTCATAAGACTTTTGAAGGGGTGTTGATCCACTATGTGTAACAGTATTTCAGGTGGTCTTCCTTATAGCTGAAGTATTTACAATCCAGTGTTCTTGGAAGCTTCAGGATTTGCAAACTCAAGGTCAGTTGATGGTTGGTAAACATAGTTGGGCCTTTTACATTCTGTGAGACATCATACATGTACATGGAGTAGAGTGACTTCAGGTTGAAATATTGGAATTGCACATCTGCTTCTGAGTAGAATGCCGAACTCCCATAAGAAAGAGTAGGTTTAAGATCCAGCTTCGTACTTCATTTGAAGCAAATGATTTTTTTTTTCTTTCTGAATATCACTCCTCTGATATAGGTTAAAAGGACCCAATAAATAAATAGCAGTTCCAGTAGTTGTGTAGTGGGATTTGATAGTTGTTTTCACTGTTAGCCAGATAAACAGGTGTATGGAGGTAACAGTATTTTGGAAATGAAGTTTCCCAAATCAACTTTGTTTGTAAACTTTGAACATGTTAGAAATGGACATGTTTATTAAACCTTTTTCTACCAGTGTCACTTTTTCCTTTATTCTCTTTTCTGTGTTATTGCCTGCATCGGTCAATTACAGTCACTCATGCTAGGTAGAGTTTGAACTGTTCAATCCCTTTCCCCACTGCTTAAGACGTTGTGGCATGATTTTGTGTTTTGAACCAGTATGTTTCAGCTGTGAAATGCACTCGCTGTAAGCACTGAGCTGAGTGCATGGAAACTGTTATGCTTCTCATTTTATCTGATCTCTTAATTGGTATGTAGCAAAAAATAATTTTCTAAAACTGTTTTGTTGCTTGTTTTGTAATAAAACCACATGAAATCCTGAAATATGGTGTGTTTTCCTGACGCCGACCTTCTGTCCGTGGGTGGATCATCTCTCTTGTCAGTCTGCGCCTATTGGTTTTATGGATTTCACGAAGTAGGTTCCCGCTCAGGGTAGGACTAGGAACCTTTCTTTATTGCCTGGGGGTGGATGTGTGCCCCGGGGAGGGACGGCTGTGGGAAGATGTATGGGTGTGCGTGGGGAGGGTTCTGCCAGGCTCTGCCCCTTGAAGTCTGGGGGCTGGCAGAGGCGGCACCCTAGCCAGGAGAAAGAAAGTGTTGCTCATATAAGAGCGGTTGCAGGTCCAGAGTCAAGTAGTTGGTAAAGTAGGAGCAAAGACGGGAGCAGGATGATTAGACCTCTACTGCGGCCAGCTGGGCTCGGACAATTCCTTCTGCTGTGGCTGCTGCTGCCCCCAGTGCCTGTGCCCAGGGTGGAGGCTCAGAGGACCTGGCCCTCGTTCTGTCCCGTGGTCTGCGAGCCGATGCGTTGTCCCCCGCTGCCCACCTGCTCCGCGGGGGCGACGCCAGTGCTTGACCGCTGTCGCTGCTGCCGCGTGTGCGCCGCCACCGAGGGTGAGGTCTGCGGCGGGGCGCTCAGTAGACCCTGCGCCCCGGGGCTGGAGTGCAGCGCGCCGCTCAGCACCCCGCGCCTAGGTGGCGCCCGGCTGGGCACCTGTGGCTGCTCGGCGGCGGGGGCTGCGGTGTGCGGCAGCGACGGGCGCACCTACCCCAGCCTGTGCGCGCTCCGCGCCAAGAACCGCGCTGCGCGCCGCCGTGGCGCGCTCCCGGCGGTGCCGGTGCAGAAGGGGGACTGTGGGGATCCAGGTGAGCGCCAGGGCCGCGCTCTCTCAGGGCACTCTTGGGACTTTCTTAAGGAGCGTACATTTTTCAATCGCGCAGCTTGCGGCGGGCTCTGCTCTGTTCCATTGGGCTTCAGGGATTTCGCGCCTTGTTCCTGATTTTCTTTCTTCTTAGGTGTCTCTTTACCGGTTTCCATGTGGTTTCTCCCCAGTTTTCTCCCTACAGCTGTTGAATGTCATCTTCCCTTAAAAAATTTTTGTTTTCCACCCGGGATGATGGGTCTGGTTCCCTCAAGGCGGATCCTTACGGGACCGCAAGGAATTAATAAATACGCAGGAGGAGGGTACCGAAGACAGGAAGGGGAGTGAAGGTGGAGAGAGGGGTCGGGGAGAGACAGAAGTTTGAGATCAGACTCCTGAGACCATCAGGCCGTAGGGTCCTGCTGCCTCCAAGAATGGAGCGTTTCTTCACAGGGCCCAGAAGCGCTGGCTGGCTCAGGAACAAGTACAACTTCATCTCCGCTGTGGTGGAGAAGGTGGCGCCATCCGTGGTTCACTTGCAGCTGTTCCGCAGGTAAAGGAGGCCCGTCCACTAACTGGGTGACCTTCTGAGGGCCTCCGTGCTCCATACCCCACTCTGCCGCTTTACACGCATCATGTAATATAGTAAACACCGTTGTGAGGACATCGGGGCTGGAAGCGATCCTGTGACCTGTTCAGGGTGGTGGAAGGGATAAGGATTCCGACTTCCAAATCTAGGCACTCCCCCACACTTAGGAGGCTGGGCTTTCTCTCTCGCTCATCTCCCACAGTCAAAATTGAAGGTCAGATGCAAGAGCTGGGAAGCATCTGGATGGTGATCTTGCTCAGCCGCCTCGTTGGCATGGAAGGAAATCCCCTGTCACAAGGCCAGTTGTAATGGAACCTAAACAGGAACCAGACTTCCTTGACTCCCTCCCTGCCTGGGTCCTCGATAATTTGGCACTAGGTCCACTTTTGCTCCTACTAATGTGATTAGGTTAGGTCTGTTGGAAGCAGAGATTGCTGCTCTGACCAGCTCTGACGAATGGAGTGTCCCTGGGAAAGGAGAGTTGGAATCAGCTCTCAGTCCTGTTCAAAAGAGGTGGCCAGGGCACTGAACATGCAGAGTCCCATTACACATGGAGAGAGCGAAAACACAGACAGGGAAAAGTAAAATGGCTGAGAAAACTGTGGTGGAGGTATACTTGATTAATGTGAGGTTCCGGTGTTTCCCGACTGTGGTGGATCCCCTGACTCTCCTGCCCTCTGTTTCTGCTGTTGTCTTGCTGAGACAGGTCACCTCTCAGCATCAGGGATATTCCTGTATCCAGTGGCTCTGGGTTCATAGTGTCTGAGGATGGGCTCATTGTTACCAATGCCCACGTCCTCAACAACCGGCAGCGAATCCAGGTGGAGCTCCAGAGTGGGGTCCAGTATGAAGCCACTGTCAAGGACATTGACCATAAATTGGATCTTGCATTGATTAAGATTGAGCCAAAGGTGAGTGTGCGAGGTCCAAATCAGAGTCTGCATATTTGGGGATTTTCATTAATTTGCTCGTATTTTCTTTCCCACTTCACTTCCACCCACTCCACATCTTTTCTACCTATGCTGTTTTCTAGTTTCCTTCCTCTCTGGTTTTTACACCCTCTTATTTTCGTCCATACCTGTCTGTACATCCCTAACAATTTCTATTAACTATCCAGCAGTGTTTTTTTTCTCTTTCACCACCTCTTTCAACAGATGTTTCTTCTGGGAAACTAATTTCTCTTCTTGTCTTAAAGAGTATCAGGAATGACTGCAATGGATTCAGAGCTGCTAAGGCAGCGGTTCTCAACCTTCCTAATGCCGCGACCCCTTAATACAGTTCCTCATGTTGTGGTGACCCCCAACCATAAAATTATTTTCGTTGCTACTCTATAACTGTAATTTTGCTACTGTTATGAATTGTAATGTAAATATCTTTTTGTTTTCTGATGGTCCTATGCTACCCCTGTGAAAGGGTTGTTCGACCCCCAAAGGGGTCGCGACCCACAGGTTGAGAACTGCTGTGCTAAGGAATACTTTGAGGTCCTTGCTATCAAAGTGTGGTCTGCACACTAGCAACACTGACATCATCTGAGAATTTTTGAAAATGCAGAATCTCAGACCCCACCCAGGTCTACTGAATCAGAATCTGCATTTTCTTAAGATCCCCAGGTGATTTATGTGCACATTAAACTCTGAGAAGAGCTGCTCTGGGAGATCTCCTTTGTCTGTGGCTTATTAACTTTTACTGTAAACTTTTGAGATGGAGCAATGCTCAGTAAATTGCTAATGTCTGTTTATGCTTACCAGTTACTTCACTTGTGGTTTATTTATAGTAATGTCTACAAAGCAATAATTTTAGATTTTAGAGATGATCCTGCATCTTAGTTGGTGGTAGTTGAAATGTGAGGGAGAACCATCAGGCAGTCCTAGAACCTATGTGGATGGGTGATTCTTGGATTATAAATGCCACAATGATAAAGACTGTGTCCTATATATGTTGTACACAAATACTGGTTGATTTTATTCTTGATTTTTTTCTTTACCTTTCTGTCTTCCCCATCCCTCTTGCCACATGCAGACTGACCTTCCTGTATTGCTGCTGGGAAGGTCATCTGACCTGCGGGCTGGAGAGTTCGTGGTGGCCTTGGGCAGTCCGTTTTCTCTGCAGAACACAGTGACTGCAGGAATTGTCAGCAGTACACAGCGAGGGGGCAAAGAGCTGGGGCTGAAGGATTCAGACATGGACTATATCCAGACGGACGCCATAATTAATGTAAGTCACTTGGGAGGGCCATTGTGAGCCCATGCAATACTGGCAGTACAGGGAGAAAAATACTTCAGAGTGCCTTCTTTTCCCTTTGGACTTCCAAGGATGTTCAGAGTTCAGTTAGATCCTTATGAGAAGGATGGAATGCCATGTTGTTACAGTTCAACCTGTTTGATGTGATGGCATCCATGATATTAGGTGGTGTGTTAGGATCTGTTATAGAGGTCTGTTATACTGCTATAGGAGGTGGTGGTCTTTTTGCTGTTGTTCTTTACCTTCAGTGACTTTAGTATTGATGATAATGGGGGAACAACTTTGCCTGCCTTGGGGGAACAGGGGCTTATGAGAGCGGGCTGCTTTTGGTAAACCTGTTTAGGAACTATGTATAAACGACAAGGAATAAAGTACTGAATTGACAAGGAGTAAAGTACTGATGGCTTTTTCAAAATCTGTCTTCAGCACGGGAATTCTGGCGGGCCTTTAGTGAACTTGGTAAGTGACCACTTTCCTTGCTGCTGCATGCCTCTCTCTAATTTTTAAAGATTTTACAAATTCCATGATGCAGACTAGGATGCCATTCTTGTGTAGAGATTTGTGGTATTATGCTTTTCCATGATGGCATCTTAAGTAAACAGTTAGGAAAATTTAAGATCTACGATGGATTTGTCATCCTGGCATGTGATCTCATCCAGCTGAGAGTCCCAGAGTTTACTGACACTTACATCTCTTTCACATGCTTTCTGTTTTCATTGGATAGTTAACAAAAGTCCTGGGTACTAAACCCAAATTTATGTCAAATGACCAACTGTACTACTAGGTAATATATTTCCTTGAAGATCCCATAGTGCTGTATAGGAAGAACTGTGTCTCATCCAAAAATGTTAATTTCATGATGTGATCTGTCCAGGTTTTTAGTCTTGACCCACTAACAGGTGATAGGAAAACCACAACAGGACTCCATTGCTTTGTCATGTATTTAATTCTTCCATTTTATTCAGCATTTCTAGTGGAAATGACAGGGTTTCTAGTTGCTCAAATACATGTGAAAACATAAGAGTGCAATGTTGATTGACACATGCTCTGTGATCATGCTCTCTGAGTGCCTTTCAGCTGATTGTTTGTGGTTTCTTTTTACATATCACACTTGCTTGTAGGAGGATGAATTGTGTGTGAAATTATTGAGTACTTTTTACCTATAATAATGTATGCAATTTTTTGTGCCTTCTTTTTCCAGTAGACAATGAATTTACTAGAGCAGAGCTGGCACACAGAATTTCAGACCACACTCCAGACCTACTGAGTTATAATCTATGTTTTAATATGATTAGAAGTCTCGTTTCTATCATTTTCATTACCTAACAAGGGTTAGAGGAGGATGAAGTGCACAAAGAGGAAAGTATTTGTCACATCATACCTTTGGTTTAGTAGAGTTTTGTTCCTAAGGTCAATTTGCTAATTCTTCTGAATAGTTTCCCTGAAGTGTTACTGAAAATCCAACAGCTTTTTGCCTTTTCCATGTTTATTTTTAGTTTCATTTAAGGAATGCAAAGGAAAATACTCCTTGTCCTCTTATCTGGGCAAAAATACAAAATGTGGTTCACTTTTAAAATCAGTGTAATTTGGTGAAAGAAAAAATGATGAAAGATTTTTTAAAAGAGATTTTAAAACATTAAAAAAACGATTTTTTCAAGAAAGGAACAATTCCTCAGCAGGCATTTACACATGTGTAGGTCTCCTCTGCTCTCCTACCGTGCTCTACCTCTAAGATACTAACATCCATTGCTCTCTATTGAAGAAGCACACATTTCCTCGAGCCCCTCTGTACTCTGACCCCAAGTGACTAGCTCTTACTTGTTCAGTTTGCACGACTTGGTGACTGAGTGATGTCTGCTCCCTTGCCAGGATGGTGATGTGATTGGCATAAATACACTGAAGGTGACTGCAGGAATCTCCTTTGCAATTCCTTCAGATCGAATTCGACAGTTCTTGGCGGAATTCCATGAGCGCCAGTTGAAAGGTAAGGAGATTGAGAACTTTTTCTTGCCCTTGTGTGTTTTTCAGGAGCTGAAATCTATTGTGCTCCATACTAACTGAATCTATTGTGGAGATTGTGGAGTTAGCCATTTCAGTTCTGTAGAATAGTGAGCCACAGGTACCCAGCTCTTCTCATGGTGGTTTGGGCAGCAACCTGGGGGACTAGGCACAAAACCAGGCATGAATTGTACCCAGAAATATTTGAACTGCTGTGAAAAGGAAACCTGAGGGCTGGAGATGGGAAGGTGGTGGGGAGGATGGCCTGTGTTAATGACAAAGGTTCTCTGAGGCATGCATTTCATGGCTGACAGTCTGAAAGGGCAGCTATAATGGTGAGGATATTCTGTGACCCAGGTGTCTTTTAAGATCTGCCAAAAGAAGAGAAGTTTTATTGTTGGTAACACATGATAATTTTCCTTTCCAGGAAAGGCTCTTTCACAGAAGAAATACCTGGGTCTGCGAATGCTGCCCCTCACTATGAAGTAAGCATGGGTTTGAATGTGTGTGGGTTGTTTTCTGAAGCAAAAGCCATAGCTGGACTGTCTTAACAAGGAAACTATAAAGTGTTGGGATCACAGCTGTGACTCTTGTGGCCATAGGCCCTGTATGTCACAGTAGGTATATGCTTCAGACTACATCAGCATCCTCTGTACTTCTCTGTAGTTCCTTTCACTGTGGCTATATTTTAAAATGTCTGACATAGAATGTTTGACATAGAAAATGAGAGCCCCCCAGGGAAGAATAAGTGTGACCCACTGGATGGAATCCTCTCTGGCCGCTGTGAGCCTTGAGAGAAAGATAGAGTAGTATTGAGACTCAGAGGCTTTGCCCAGCACTCAGGAGATTAATCACCGTGCTTCTTAACCTTAGGCGAAAACTCTTCTCATTTTTCTTAGCCTCCTTCAAGAAATTAAAAGACAAGATCCAGATTTCCCTGATGTGAGTTCTGGGGTTTTTGTATACGAGGTGATTCAAGGGACAGCTGCTAAAAGGTAAGAGAAGCTCAGGCCTTTCTTTGCCCAGCCTCTTTCGTTCTCGCTAGATGTGCGGCGTGGGGAACGTGTGTAGGGTCTAGACTTGTGCTCTCCAGTACAGGGGACCCTACCCACATCTGGCTACTGAACACTTGAGATGTGGCTGGTGTGACTGAGGAACTGAATTTTTAATTTTATTTAATTTTAATTTATTTAAATAAAAAAACCAGAAGGAACGTAGAATATTTTTCCATTAAACACACCTTTTTGTTATTGATTTGGGAGGACTTCCTCTCACTTTAACCATTGCATTGTGTAAGGTATTATCGTTTTGTGCTGTTTCTAGAGGATTTCTTAGACTGTAAAATGCGTACCAATAATTAGTACAGTATCACATGTTAAAGTGATACTTTAGATATACTGAGTCAAATAAGACAAATTATTAAAATTACTTTCATCTGTTTAAAAATTTTATTTTTTATTTTGTAAAGGTTTTTATTGGGGAATTGGGGGATGGGAACAGCACTGGGGAATTGAGGGAAGGGGAACACACAAGTTGCTGTCTTTTTGTTCTTCAGTCTAGTTGTGGAGGACGTTGCTTCACTGGCCCAAGTTGGCACCATCATTGCGTTCTTCCCAGGCAAGGCAGATCAGTCGCTGGCTTCTGGACAGCCGCTCACAGCCGTTTGAGGGCCGCTCATGCTGGCTGCTTGCTCAGCTCCAGGTTGAGCTGTTGTTCAGCATCTTAGCTGTAGAGGGCAGCGTCACGGGCCCCCACAACATGTGGGATCCGAACTGGGGCCCTCTGGCGTCCCAAGCCAGTTCTTAACCAACGTGCCACTCGGCCGGCCCTAAAATTTTGTTTTTTAAATGTGGCTACCAGAAAATTTTAAATTACATGTGTGGCTTGCCTCACATTTCTGTTGAACAGTAATGCTGATTTAGACTTGTGCACTGTAGGGGTCTTTTTCTTTCCTTTTGTTGTTTTGGAAGGGATGGTTCTCTGTAGCCCAAGAATTCATGATGGGGGGTAATAACATAAGTTTAAATTAATCTTTTTTAGAAATCCCCAAATCAACCCCTTTGATACCTTAGATATTAAGAATTAGAAGACTCCAAAGGGTTTAAAATTTAAGAACATATTTTAGGTATCTTAAAACAGTTTTTTTCTTTGAATTCTGGATGACAGTATCTGAAGACAGCACTAAATAAACAAACGAGCAAATAAACAAAGGAGTATATAAACTGAATAAAGCAAAGGCTAGAGTAGCTCTCCATAAAAGATGCTTCAGCTGATTTTACTGTTCTTTTGAACATTTCTACTACCTACTGAGGGAAGAGGTGGCTTGTCTGACAGTTTTTCTCTTATACTTCTTCACTATTCCTCTCTCTGTTTTTCAAGAGCTCAACAATCTGTTTAGATTATAGCAACTCTTGTAGTAGGGGTCAAGAAACCGTAGGGCACTAACTATTCAGAATAGCCAAGTGCTAGGTCTCATGTTACTAAATTTGGCTTGTCACAGGTTTTTCTAAACTTTCTTGGTTCCCGCCCTCACCTCCACCCACCGCCCCCTCCATTTTTAACTTCTGGTTCAAGGCCAAGCTATTTCTTTCAGATCTCCAAGTCCTTGGCTACTCAAGATGTGGTCTGTAGACCAGCTGTATTAGCATCAGCTGGAGCTTTGTAGAAATGCAGGATGACAGGCCCACCACTGAATCAGAATCTGCATTTTAAACAAGATCTCTATGGTTTGCATACATATTAAAACGTGGGAATTAATGCTTGGTGCCACGGCTAAATGGGAGAGCTGTTCTTTTGACTTCCCCCACTGATATCTAATAACAATGATAATAATTATAGTAATAACAGCTGGCATCTATTAACCACTTACTGTATGTCAAGCACCATTTTAAGTGTTTTATGTATTTGTTTGAGCCCCCAGTTTTATGATATAGGTATTATTTTAGAGGAAGCAGCTGTAGTACAGAGAAGTTAATGTGAGAGTCACACAGTAAGTCAGACAGCAGGGATGTGGAACCTAGCTTAACCTCTGTATTATCTTGCTTTTGTGGTTGCTTTCTTGCTTTTGAGGGGCAGAGTCATCGAGTGGCAAGAAGATGGCTTTGCAAATTTGAAAGACCCAGGATCATGCCCTATTTTAGTCTTTTGCAAGCTGTGGGATATTTATCCTGTCTGAGCCTCACTTCCTCATATTTGGTGTATAGTTTTCACTCAGTAATAATTTGCAGGTTCCTTTTTTTCTCTTTTTCCACTTACAGAACTACCATGAATTAAGTTCTTTCCTTGTGCACTGTCCGTCATTTTCCTGAGCTGACCTTGTTCTAAAGGCTTTCCATACTTTTAGCTCTGCCTTCAAACTTCTCTTCACATCCTCTTGCTTTACATTTCTTTTTTTTTTTTTTTAAATAAAATCCACATGCCTTGGTAATCCTCCCATATTATTCGTCCTTGGGCTTTCCATTTCTCTCACATGGTGTCTTCTGGAGTCATTTAATTTGTTGTCCCTCTTCCAGGCTATTTTTGACTTTAAGACAAATCAACAACATGGTTATATTATTTATTGCATTTTCATATTTGGAAGTGGTTTTTGTTTTGAGAATATGTATTTTATGTGAGGCAGATATGTTGGAGACTGAATGCAGTCACAACTTTGGGGAAAAGGAGCCTAAAACCAGATCCTTAAATATTCAGACCTGGACTTACTGGGAGCAGAGCTTTTAATACTGTAACTCAACATACTCTCTAGTTCAGGGGTTGGCAAACTTTTGAGACGGAAGAGCCGCCAGGGGTCAGCAAACTGCAGCTTTTGAGCTGCAGGCTCTGAAGTAAAATTGAAAATGAAAATAAAACTATCATAGTTTCATTTATAAAATTTCTAAAGGATATTATTCACATAATGGTGATTATGTAAAAATATATTTATGGCTCTCAAATAATTTTTGAATTGTTGTGAGGGACAGGATTGGCTCTTCCAGAGGTCGGCAAACTTTTGAGACAGAACATACCCGAAGAACCGCAGCATGCCTACCCCTGCTCTAGTTCCATAAACTGTGGGTGAAATGGGGAAAGTGGGCTCTCAAAATCAAACTGATCAGTGTCTGCGGAAAATATACTGCTTGGGCTTTTCATGTTTGCTTGTAAGACTGGGAGTATGCTTGGGGGGTATGCAGAGATTAATAGAAATTAAAAGCTAAACTCCTATTGCAAACCAAATCTAATATGTGGGAGGAGTAAACTTCTAACACATGATTCTGGTAGAATATTAATTTTGTAAAGGTAAATAGGATTGCTGTCCTCCAGGTGTTTTCACTGCATATCTTAGAACAGCCCTCATATTTTAAAGAATTGAAGCCATTTCTGGTTTTCTGGTTGGTATATTTAATGCCAGCAATATAGTAGATTGCTATAAGAGATTGACATTAAATTCTAGATGGGGATAAGTAAAACTCTTATAGTTTCACGGTCCTTTTTTTCCCCTCCTTTCCAGCTCTGGGTTGAGAGACCACGATGTAATCGTCAGCATAAATGGGCAACCTGTTACCACCATAACCGACGTTACTGAAGCTGTTAAGGACAATGATTCCCTTTCCATCATGGTTCGTCGGGGAAGTCAAACTTTGATCCTGCCAGTCACACCTGAAATAATTGATTAAGTATCTTGCTTTAAAGAGAAATTATCTGACAAAACCAAAGCTATATTACCTGGTTTGTATTGAAGATGTGCCAAAGATATGGCAAGAGGTCTTAGGATCTCTTTCTTAATAAGGAAAAATGAATGCTTTAAAACACACACACACACACTCAGGGACCATTAGGTTGGGGGTGCTATCCTGCTGCTAAGAAGCCTTACTAAGCAAGTGGAAGAAGGACATGGTGCCAGGAAGTCTGAAGAACTGATAGAATTTTATTTAAAGATAGGAAACAACTGAAAAATAGGTAATTTCTAATTTACCTTTGACAGAAGGGCACTTTAGTATTTTAAAACTTCTCTATGGCCACAAACTGGATAATCTCTCTCTCTCACGCACACACACACACACACACACACACACACACACACACACACACAAATATTAAGAAACAACCTGAATCCAGAGTGCAAAGGAAATAAAATTTTTAATAATATTCCTTTAGGTAATTAGTTTTTCAGGTTGTATCACATTTGGCTAGGGTTTGTGGATACAAAGGTGGGGCATCGCTTAGAAATCAAATTGAAACTAACAATTGCCACAGAGGAATACTAAATATTTGCAAGTTATCACTCTAGCAGAGGAAACAACTTTGGTCTCCAACAGCTTTTCTGACTGTGAGAAGGGCTCCTACAAAACAGATATTTCAATAAATGACAGAATTTTGCCTTTTTACCCAAGCTCTTCCTCTTGGCAACATTCATGATTTGAGTATGCAAGCTGCCAAAGTGCTGTTTTCTTTTTTTTTAAAAAGAACATAGTTTTTGATGGGGTTTGTGATTACCCTTAAAGAGATTAAAAAAAAAATGTGTGAGATAAGGCAAAATTTGTGGCTTAACATATTATTTTGGGTAAGATTTTAATTTTGTTTTCTGGACTTCTCTTAGTAGTGAGGGTTTTTGTTTTTGTTTTGTTTTTTTTTCAACATGGTATCGTTAGACCCCCTTAAAATTTTATGGGTTTGTACATTTTTCTGCAGAGAGGTTCCAGTTTCTTCATGACTCACAACAATTTAAAAAAGACTGCCTTAGAGTATAGAGATTATGAATACAAATCTACCAGGTATTGCTGTTATAAACAAGGTTAAAGTCAATGTGGTACAGACCTTTCAAGACAGAACAGAATAATCTGCTTTAATTTTTATACAATTGCCACCATTTAATCATATAAGAACAATGATCACATTAATCAGGGGTAATAAAGCTAAAACTTTTAGGAAAGCTGTATCATGATGATAGAGCATATCCAGAGTTATTTTAACTGTGCTTCTTGGTCTTTAAGTCAATTATTATGAAAGCAAATTTTGAGCAGTTCTACCTTGATTGTTTCTAGAATTTATAAGTTGTTCCCAAGAGCAGGATTAGTTTGACTTACCCCAAAAGTTCCCCTTTTACTTTATATTTGACCATGCTTTTCAATTTAGGTTGCAAAGGAAGGGAACTAAGTTTTTCAAATCACTTATAATTCAAAACATTTCCTTTATTTTCAGTGATTTGGGAGTGCCAAAGCTTGGTTGTGTCTCTTTCCCTATGGCTGACTGCCCACAGTGAGAGCTTCTGGTACCATGGTTATTTTGACAGAAAGTGCTCAGTTTCTCTTTGTCCCCATAAAATCACATCCTAACTCTATCCAGCACTCAGTAATAATATCCTTTAAGTAAGAGTCTGTTTTTCTTTCCAAGGGCATGAGGCTCCTCACCTTATCTTACCTAATCATGAAGAATGGTTTTATAGTCACTTGTATGTTTTTTTTTTTTTTAACCAGCCTACAACATAGGCTCTCTAAACTGGTAAATAACTACTTTTCAGATAAGAAAATTCTGCCAAGAGGATAGCCTAACCCAGACAGGTCTGATACTGTTGGCTTTCAAACCACAATTGGAAATGAAAAAATTATTTCCATGCATATATATATATATATTTCCATGTATACACTACCTCTTAAAGCATAATAACGGTAAAACAATAGGGTTTATTAATAGGGTGGTTCACTTTAACCACCTAGCTTTTAGCGAAACACATATAATTTTGAGTTTTACTCTACCTCTCGAGAATACTAAACAGCATTCCAGGTTGGCAAAATTTATTCTGCAATTTAAATTCAGAAAGTCAGAATTTCAGTGTGTATTAAAATCCATGGCAATTTCTACTTCTGCTAGAGATCTTCACAGGTTCAGCTTCAGATCTCCGCATGAAGACTCAGGGTCACAAAAGGCACCAGGCTAAAAATACTCACTTCGCTCATCCTGTTGGGTTCACCTGCTCCAAAGGATTGAAGATATAGCCATGTACAGAAAAAAAGAGTATGGAAAGCCTTCCGCTGCTTATAAGTTAGTCACTAGCCTTTATATTTTGTACACGAGGAAAGGTACAAACTTGGTTCACACAACACTGTTTGTCACTTCTAGTCTGCAAGGTAAAATTTGGGTTGAAAATCCACAGTCCAAAGAAACCATCGTAACCAAACCCATTCCTTCCAAAGAGAGAAAGGAATGGTCAGATCTGATATCACGGAAGAGCTATGAGTCTGAAGAGATGAATGCAGATGACTTGTCTCTCTGGGCTGTAACAGCAGCTCTTTTTAGTAAACAGTGCACCAATTGCTGCCATCACTTGGCATCAGCCCTCCAGTAATAAGCAATATAAGGTCAACAAACCACCAAATCCCAAGTCCTCCAAGTGTCAACAGCTTCCCTACGGCTGTGCCAGTGTGTCCCAGACAGAAACGATCCACTCCAAAACATCCCAAGAAGAAAGAGTAGAGTAAAGTGGTTATGAAGTAGTGTCCGGTATACCTAGAGAAAAGGAATTAAAAGGAAGATGTTTACCACATGAAAATTAAAGTACTCAATGATTAATGAATTTAATGTAAGTGAAAAGATGGTATAGCCAGTCCCTCTGTGGCCTCTTACTACCCGCCCCCACCCCCCCACCCCCCCGCAAGGATCTTTAGTTGGTCTCGAGTCTCAAAAGCATACCTGCCAAGATGTGGAGGGCTTGTAAGAACAAATACTGAGTTGGACTGGACAATAAATTATTAAGCACATTAGCACCATAGATATCCTGGTAGGAGTGGAGTCTGGGCCCCCAATCCTCCCCTGCACAGGCTCCTTTCTTGAGGCTGTAGTTCTGAATGTAGTTCTCTAATGAAGTGTTGTCTTTCCTTAAATGAACACTGATCTCCATATACCTTTCCTGTTGTCTTGGGATGACTACAAATGGGGATGTCTGCATAAGGACTTCTGTCTTATATAGTGTGATGACACTCAATTGCAATTACTCTATTATCATCACTAAACATAGTCAAAGACTCCATTAGCAAATGGTATAAGGAATTTCTGTGCCTTCAAGCAAAATTTATAAAAATAACCCTAATTCTTTAAGAAAAACTGATTTTCAGGGAGAGGCCCATACTTTTTCATAAAACTTTTATTCCTGAAACACTGACTATTTTTAAAGGATTTATGCTTATCATAGGAATTCTGGAGCTAGATCATCTGGTCCAACTCCTTCATTTTGTAGATGAGGGAGGGGACAGAAACTCTGGGCGCCCATAGGTACTTACTTAGTTGGTGAAAGAGACACTTAGGACCTCTGGTCTCAAGTACAGTGTCCTGTCTGTTATAACTACATTATCCCTGTCCACGGATTATACACAGTAGTAATCATGTTGCCCCTTTAACACTTAAGGCAAAAGAAAAAATCGTATCAAGAGATGACAAGGAAAACAGCTCTACCTCTGCCCAAGTACCAACTACCCCATTCAAAGTAACACTTACTTTATACAAGGTTTATTCTCTCGTAGGAAGGTCCTAGGACTGGCACACTCAATTCCATCTAGGGCCCGGCACTGGACTGATGTGTGTTCTACATCACTGTAGGCTTGACCACCGAACTGTGGAATAACCACCGAAACAAAACCAACAAAAAACTCACCAAAGCAAGTAACACAAAATGTATCTTTATATTAATTAATAAAAGCTGACTCAGCGTGATAATTATTCTAACAAAGTTGGGGTAAGGCTGTTCTGAAGAACAAGGAATTCAGTGACATACCTCATGTGATTTTAAATTAGTCCATCCGAAATGTACATTGTTTTACATAAACTCTTTTTTAAACATTCTTTATGATTAGCTTCTTTAATAATATAATAAAAAAATTATAATAAATATCATTAAATGCCATTTAAGATGGATGGACACAATGCTTTAATTATCCTATATTTATAGGACAAAGAGCACATTACTGAACATTTGAGAATCGGTATATATGAACATAATTAGAAATAATTCAGAGTATCAACTGACTCAGGACTTGATTTAGGTCATGAATGTATGATTATCAAATATTTGTAGTACATCTACAGTATGTTTAAATTCCAGTAAAAAATTTCAGAACAGGACCTCTGACCCTTTGTGTCAATGAATTCTAAAAAAGAAGGCACAGCTGTATATTCTCTACTGGCAACTTATTAAGTGCTTCACTGCTATTTTTGTTGGAGCATTCCTCAAAGGGAAGGGGGTGGGAAATAAGGATGCTTATTCCTTATACCTCCCCCAGGGAAGCAGGTGCCTGAGCACTGCCAGTCCTCTAGGACTTCTGGGAGAAGTGACAGTTTGAGTGCCTTGACAGGATCAATCCAGTTTTTAATTAGTAAAACAGGCAAGAGTTAAGTGATCTGTATACAATGCTAACTCAGACTTTTATCAATAATTATCAATAGAACAAAATCTCAGTGTATTGAGAATATTTCTTCATACATGATTGCAGTACGAGTTGCCTTTTTGGTTTTATTACTTTCAGGTTTATTTCTCTGTGTCTGATTTATTACTAAGAATGTTTTCCCATAATTCTGTTACACCTGTGTCTTGACTTGTATTATGCAGCATAACATAACATAATGGTGAGTCCACAGTGGGGAAAAAGTACATGAACGTCACTGGTCTTTTTGGAATCTGACTAGGAAGCGTGTACCTAGCTTTAGGGATATTATCAACAGAGCTGAATGGCCTCTCTATTTCAAGAGGTCACTGTTACTAAAGACGTCTCCTTGAATGCGATAACATCCTACAAAGACATATACTGATAGACCCTGTTTCCTAAAGACATAATAGAAACTGCATGCCTGGTGAAAAGAAAGGTTACTGGCAAGAGCAACTCTGCCCCAAATGCATGTGTAACAAAAATACTGCTCAATTCATCTTCAGTGTTAGAAAGTGCATAAGCCTTTTTTTGCTCTTTCAGAAAAGTACATGACTTGAAGGATAATTAGGGATGACATTTTTAGCTTCAAATCTGTCAATCTCAATGGCCAAGGAACCAAAGACAGGTTGGTCTTTGCACTTGGGTAGTTTTGGCACAGAGACTGCTGCTTCCTGAGGAAACTAAATGTCTTGTTTAGCCTCTGACCCTAGCCATCCTGTACATTTCTAGCTAACAGTTGTTCTAGACAAGGTAACCTCATACCCTTTATCCTTTTCTGTAACTTTTTAAATACGTTTCTGGAAGAGTTCGCTTATAAAACAAAACAAAAACCCACCTTGAGACAACCATAACCAAGTTCCTGGGATGCGGTTCCATTTCCGACATGATCCACTGGGTCTTCACATTCTATGAATTCATCAGGTCTGTAAATCAACAGTAAGATCATGACCATCACATGGTCTTTGCAAATGGCTATTTACACGTATATAATCAAAACAGGCAAGAGACATTTCTTCAAGTTTCTGTGGTTTAATGTTCTGAATCTTTCCCAAGACAAGAGATGATGTCAAACTGAAGTATGGCAGGTCAAATAGCTATCCAAATGACCTTTTATTGGGGGCAGGGGGGTGTTTCTGGTCCTGTTTCTACACATATTCTACTTCTGTCATGCCTTCATCTCTTCACTTAGGCCAAGAGTCACAAAGCTATGCAGACAAAACTGAAGCCCAAAGATTCGCAGTTCTCTTTGCATTTCCCAAACGCCTTTTCTTATTTGACTAACATGGGATGTTAAAAAATTACTTGGCTCTGCAACGGTAAGAATATATATCTATATATCTATATCTATCTATAGATATATCTATCTATATCTATCTATATCTATAGATAGATATAGATAGATATATATACAGAAAGTGCCTTATAGGCAGGGACAAGTAATTGACTCCACTTGTGCCTCACGCAGTACCAGCACCTACGATGGAGTCTCTCCGGTTAAAGGGGGCAGGACAGAGAAGACACTACCTCGTATACTTCCGGAGACTATATGATGTCACCCCTTCCTAGTTCTCCTCTTTCGGAATCTCAAAGGATCTGCCACTGACACGGTTTTCCCCTAAATGGGTGAAAGGAGTGAGAAAAACCTGTCATATTCACCTCCCGCATGTAGACTATCATCAGGTCCTCAGATGGAAAGGATCGGGGGTGGGGGTGGGGGAAGCAGCCTCTCTCCTCCTCCCCTAATACACCCTTATATCCCTGGTCCTATCGCCATCTCCACCTGCCTCGACGACTGGGTAGCTTACAGGTAAGAGCAAAGGATGACTGGAGAGTTGGGGTCGCCATATTCCCAGCTCGGAGCGCCGGCGGAGACCTCCGGGTGGGCGGCGCCAGCGGATGTGAGCTCGGGCTCTGCGGTAGCGTTGTACGAGTGGCTCCGAGAAACACAATGCAGCAGAAGTAGATTCCCCAGCAGCAAAGCCGCCTGGCCACACAGAAGTAAGTAACTCACCGGGCAACCACCCAGCACCATCTTCCTGGGCCCAGTGGCGGAGAGGCGGCC